ATTACTTCGTTATTGTACATAAATTAAATTATAAAAAATTGGATTAAAAAATTACACAAAAAAATGAGCAATTTCAAATAGTTAATTTGATACTAATATCGATATATTTTTGTAAAATTTTTATGATATCATCAAACATATATTTTATTCAAAAATAAAAACATCATCGCTTTCTCAAAATCACATAAAGCCAATAACATCGACTGAGATAAAGAATAAAATGAAATATTAAAAACATGATTTATTTCGCTGCATTGCGCGAGTACGCTTCTAGTATATATATATATATATATATATATATATATATATGAAATGAAAATTATATTTCTAATTAAAAAAACCTTAAGTTAAGATTTCTTTTTTCATCATATGAACATTACACATATATCATAAAGTGTTTCAAACAAACCGATGTATATAGAAGAAAATAGATCCAACAATATTATATAAATCTCTCACACACACACACACACACAAATCATAAAAAGACAAAGGGTATTGAAGGATGAATGATGTTGCATGCATGTATTTACTAAAACCAAAACTCTTTATTTGGATTCATAAAACGTTAGTTACAAATTAATATGATTCCAGGGGTATTATTATTATTTTAAACAGGATTACAACAATTTTGATTATTAATTTAAATAATAATATCAAAATTTCAAGTACATGTACATACATAAATGTCATCACCAAAGAACAAAAAAACAATCATTTTCCTTTCCTAAAATACATCTCCAAGTCTCAAAAAATATATTAAAGAAATATATTATTCATATTGTTTGTTTAATTAGATATACACAAAATGGGAGTGGTTTTTTTAGGTACCATGCATATATAATTACATAACTACTGCTGCATGCTACCTACAAATTACAAACATGATCATATCAATATGATGACTTTTGAATGAATTTGAGTCCCTTAATTAATTATCATACAGAAGATGATGATGATGATCCTTTGATTCATGAAAACAAATTAAATCCAAGACTGGATATGTGCAAACATCTCTGATGATTCTAAATTATCTTCCTCTTCCTTTACAACCACCTGCTCATTGCATTCAAAACCCATCATCAAAGTTAATCAACTAATTTCAAATATTTGCAATTATATATATATATATATATATATATATATATATATATGTAACAAATTAAGGGTTCATGAACTATAATTAATCTATGAATTAATTAAGGTGCATTACATGAATAGATTTTACATCTTCATCCGTGTCTTCTTCATGGTTGCTGCATGTCGTTCTATTGTTCTCTCCGAATTCCTCGTTCTTTGCAAACCTTCCTCTCACTCGGGGCCTGCTGTCTGCCAGGGTTTTCCGGCATGCATACTGCAATAATACATATACATACATATGATTTCATAATTATATATATTGATCAAATTCAGGCCTTTTTTAATTTGCTATATACATGGATATACACTCACCTTGATTTTCTTGCTGAAATTCCTCTCGTTTCTTTTCTTCATGTATCTATGGATCTTCTCTTTCCTTTCTTGGGTGCTGAGTTTGTTGGCAACTCTCAAGGTTTCTGCTTCCAAGCTTGTGATCTCTAATGCCAATGGAGTAGCACAACTCCCACCTTCATTTACAAGATGATGCTGGCTCTCGTTGCTAAGGGCCTGGATTCATTAATTAATTTAATTCCATGCATGTATATATATTTCAGAAGAAAACGGTAAGTTGGATTGGAGAAGACACAAGAAAATAGAACCATATACATCTTATTACCTCAAGTTCATTAGAGTTGTAGGGTGGTGGCAAAGAATCTGGACAGAAGATGTCTCCCTTGAAATCTAGTTCATGAGGTTGAATTTCAATATTCCCCAAGAACAAATTATTCCCATTGAAAATCCCTGAAGGACTTTCTACTGCAGCTGGTAGAGGAGGGTTGGAGTTTCCTGAAAGGTAATTATAAGAGTTTATGGAGGGATCCATGAAGGAAAAATTAGCAGGCGAGGAAGGGTTATTAAAGCGCATGAACTTTGAAGGTGGCATGGAAGATAAGCAGTCATGTTGATCACATGCAGCAGCTGGTCCCATCACAGGGACAACGTGGTCGCTTGGATGAGGGTAAGGCAGATCTGTAGCTAGTGGCAGTTGGAGTAGGGCAAGATCAAACTGGTCCTGATGGCCAAATTGGTAGTGATTGGTACTTGTGAAATCTAGATTAATATCGTTATCGTCTTCAAAGATAATGGAGAAGCTGTTGGTATCGACCAAAGGGGGTTTGGTGGCATTAATATCATCTATGGGAGCTGGGAAGGAGAGGTTAGTAGTAGTAGTAGTGTAGGAGGAGTAAGATTGATGATGATGATGATCTTCATAGCAACAATTTGAGGTTGAAGCAACTTCCAAGTTTTGTAACGTCTCTGGGAACAACTCCGATTCATAAAATTCTAGTATTTGAGCACTTAATGGGCTCGACACCTTTTCCTGTAATTCAAAGAAACAAATTATAACTATAATCTTATATATATATATATATATACAGATGCAAAAATGATAACAGTATATATTCAAACCGAACCTTGACAGAAACAGCGGTTTTAAATAAACAATTGGAAGCAGTACTCAAAAGAGCCATATATATATATTATATTATATTACATAAAATTGTCGCAATTCCTACCAACATTTATATATATGCATATAAAGTGTGGTGTTGATGATCATCGTGATCCGTCCTTCCACGTCTCCATCCAAATTGAATCAAAGAATCAAAGAACTAAAGCTACTTAAACATAACGCGGTCATTGACAGCGACATCTTTATATTCTCCAAATCATTGAAATTTAAGAAAAGGAGATGAGATGAGATGAGATGGTGTAGTCGATCGAAAAGAGACAAATTACTTGGTTTGGTAAAAGGACCATCGATCCAATGTGTGTGTGTGTGTGTGTGTGTTTGTGTTGTAGACGGCGAGAGAGAATCAATCGAAACGATAAGGATAAGAAGAGAAGAGTAAGAGAAGAATTTAATCAATTAGGTGCATACCAATCTATCATCCTCCTTTATACAACTATATATTAATCCTACGTCAACCTTACCACCATGCATCACCATCTCCATTTGTTACTTTTATAATAAATATATAAATGAAAAAATAAAAGTGCATCGACTTAATTTGTAATTGAAGCCTAAAATCAAGTCACGCCAACTCATTCAATCATCCATCATATTCATACGAATGCATCATCACACCAAAAAAGCAACAAAATGAATGGAGCATCTATCAACCTAACTAAAATTAATAAAAGAATTTGAAGTTATTAAGAACTTGACCTCCAAAGGAATATATATATATATATATATATATATATATATTAATATTCTTTCGGAAAGTTACATGAAAACGATATGATCAGTTGTACAAGCTAAGCTAAGCATAGCATAATTAATTAATTAATTAATTGTATATAGTTGATCTTAATTAATGAATGAAAGTGTTACAAAATCAACAAGTGAATTGAAGAAGATATATAGAATTGTACCATGGAAGGCTGTTGTTGTTCGGTTGGAAGAAACGGGTCGTCCAACATCCTCCAAACAAGAAATTAATAAGATGGTATGTGTGTTAATTTATGTGGGAATTAAAGGTTGTTGGGTGACTGGTTGTCTTTATAAGTAACTATACGTACCTAAGTGAAGGAAAAGGAATAGGAAAAGGAAAAGGAATAGGAATAGGAATAGGAATAGGAATAGGAAGAGGAAGAGGAAGAGGAAGAGGAAGAGGAAGAGGAAGGTGGAGGTTATGAAAAGCTAATTGTGGTTTGGAGTTGAAGTGAATGTTTGGAGGAAGAAGATGATGAAAGTCCATCATGCATGAAATGAAATGAAATTAAATTGGAGAGGAGTAAGGTGGAATAAGGGTAATGTGGTGAAGGAAATTAGTTACTAGTTATATATATATATATATATATATATATATATATATAAGCTACAATTGTAGGGTGTCCGATGCCCTCTCCGACTAACTTGCTCTACCATTCACCATGCATCTCTCACTTACCTCTCCTCCCATCTATTTTAGGACACATCAAACCTTTATTACCATTAAATCAAATCAAACAAACCTAATAAATTCCATATAAAATAGGGTCTAGATTAGTATATACCAACACATTACCCTTCATCCAAAGAGTAGCTAGAGTTACGTTTATGTGAACATCTTTGACTTATTGAAAGGATTTGAGAAAAATGATTTTGCGAATAACTAATCTTTACTAAAGAAAAAATAAATGTAGTTTGGAAGAGCGAGTTAGAAAGAAAAAGAACCTAGCTAGAAAAGAAAATGCATAGGGGCATGTGTGAGACCACCAAAGTAACAAGAATATGGTAAAACAAAAGGCAAAAGTAGGTAACCCAAAGCGTTGCATTGCCAACACAAACTAGGGCTCCGATGCCTAGCTATCCATCCTAAGTTCCCTCCGACTCACTCTCCACCTCTCCACTCTTCCCTTGTCGTTAATAGCCTAAAAATGTCTGAAATTGACATGCTTGGTCTTAGTTGCTAGTCCGACAACCTTCTCCGTTTGCCCTCCTCCTCACACTTCAACCATTATAGTGTCGCACTTTATTTTCAAGATATTAAACCAAAAGTATCGACTATTGCGGCTTAGGATTGTTTGATCCACTGGTTTGAATCTTGCAACCAACATATCATAAATTTTGATGATTAATTATAATAATCCTTTCTACTCCGGTTAGGCTTGTATAAATGATTACCTAGAGGTTAATTAATTATGAGTTCAAATTCATTCTTGGACATGCATCTATATATGTATTAGGATGACCCATCCAAAATTGTTATCGCTTCTTAATCTACACTCTTTTTCCTTTTAGAATATGATTCTATCTTCTATTACATATCAAATGCACGGAGGTTGAAAAAATGGCTTTCGATTTCTTTGAAGATTTTATCTTGGAATCTTTCAACAACTATACTTTAATTTGACAAATCTAATAGGATTCAAATGACCACGTATAGTATGATCAAACTTTTGTCTAGTACGTGTTTTTTTGTTACCAAGTGTTGAAGCTTTTTATGTTCGTATCTTTTAACTTGCTAGGAGAAAAACAATACGTCAATGTGTTTATATTGTGTAGGAACGTCAAGAGAAACCAAAATTTCACCAACAGGCACTACATCAACTTATGTCTTATTCGAATGTATGTTTAAGTATAAAAGGTGTAACTCAATCCAAGGCCATGGAAAAGCCCGTGAGCATAAGGAATAACAAAAAGATCTTTGAACAAACCCCGAAATCATGTCCAATAAAGCGATGTACTTGTGATTCTAAGGTATATAAAGCATGCCCGATTTTTAATTGTGCTTAATTTGCAATCACTTGTTATAATTTAAAGAGCTTTTAATTATTCGCATCATTTTAATCTCAACAGTATAAGGTAGCGAACTAACAAACACACTTTAAATGTAACACGAGTCATTAATTCTAAGCCATCTTGTCGTGTGATTTGCACGGAAGAAACAATATATTGGTTAAAAGCAAGCCAATTCATAAAAGCTGTAGCGAATTAAATCAGGATCATTGGTTGATCAAAGAATATGGGAAAATAAAGTGCACAGCAGAACAATTAAAGCTCAAGAAATCAATCTTTCAATTTGATTCCAAATAAGACATTATGTTCTTTGGTGCCTCTTTTTTCTTCTCATCTAGGTTTTTGACTTTAACCAAGTTGCTCATCGTCTGAGTTATAGTTATATATGTATATATATATATATATATATATATATATTGCAATCAGAAGACACATAAAAGAATCAACAACTAGTCCATGCATGGTGTTGGTGTTCTTTCTTTCAAAGTTGGGTTCCATACCTACCAGTGTTTGTGCTCTATTGGTTTCAATCTTTCACTTCTTCCCTCAAATGCCACGACAATAATCCATTGGTACAGCTTCCATTTAACTTATTTTGGCAAAATTCTTTCCCCTACATGAAAAGCTAGTATACTCCAAAGCCATAGGTGGTTTGTACAAGAGTTCCTTTGGGTAAAATTATTCGTGTATTTTTCAAGATTGTAGGAGTGAATAGCTTCTTTCACATGGGTCTCAAGAATCAATGATTGTAGTATAGCCCAAACTGCAAACAAGAAAACATTGATTTTCCAGGTGAAGTGACTATGCATGTGATCTTTTCTTTTCTATCTGGAATATTATTTGTCTTTCAAAGTTCTTGCATCGCGCGTACATGTACAATTACATATATGGTGAATGCATACTCGTGTGGCTTCGTCATCCTTGCATCAACCTTTCAAGATTCAGGGAAGTCTTTTTTTTAGTTGTAACAACATCATATATATGTGCATTCAAATTAATGCTTATACACATCATAAAAAAAACATATGTGTACATAATAAAAAAAGTTTCCCCTTGATGTTTCTCTTGTTAGAACCAATTTGCAATGTTAATTAGCATCGATCTGCCTTCCTATATACGTTTGATCTGTAACCAACGATATCCCTACAAGTCAAAGGCAAACATTATCATGTGAATTTGAAGGTGCTTTAGCTATTTTGTATTGTTTAAAACATGAATCTTTCAATTAGTTGTGTTTCTTTTGATTTTGCAAATTTACCTTGTTGAACATACATAGTTTACGCTTTCTTCTCTAATTATACGATGGAATTGAAATCACAAATTCCAATTCCTTTGTTTGGTTCATTTCTTTGAAATGGATGGAATCCTTCAAATTCCATTGAATTCCACAAATTAATGAATTCATTATTTCTTGGCATAATAGAAGAAATTGAATTTCATCACCACCCACCACGACCATGCTACTATTGTTCGCCATGCCCCACCCCTAACCCCCCCACCACCACCACACCACTACTGTCGCCGTCACACATCGTACCCCACCACTAACCACCATGCCACTACAGTTGTCATCACCACCTACCCCTTAGTCACTCATTGCACATCCTGCTACTACCGTTATTGTCATTCCCCTAACCTAACCCCCACCACCACATCATTATTGTCGTTGCCACAACTGCCACTCACCTCCCACTCCACCCTACCCCAACACACCACTGACCACCATGCCACTATTATCGACGTCATACCCACCCATTTCCAGCCACCCGACCACCATCCCACCACTTTCGTCGTCACATCTACCACCCAGCCCTGCTGCCCCACCTTGCCTCTAACCTAACCCTCCACCCCACACCACTATTTTCGTCTTCACATTCACTACTCTCCTGCATCCCACCCTGCCCCAACCCACCACGCCACTATTGTCGTCGACATACCCACCCACTCCCAGGCCCCAGCCACTTGACCACTATTCTACCACTATCGTCGATTCATCGTCACACCTACCACCCTCGCCACCTACCCCTATCCACCCTACTGTCTCGCCCCCACCTCGCCCCACCTTACCCTACTCCAACCCACCACTAACCACCATCCTACTGGTACTGTTGTCGTCACAGCTATCACCCATTGCCCCATTCTGGCCCCACCCCCACCGCCTCCCCCCACTTGCCCCCAACAACCCCAACCTATATAGCATAAATGGGGCAGGAGTGGTGGGGGCAGGGTTTAGGTAGGGGTGGGTCGGGGTGATAGTTGTGACGACGATAGTAGTGACATGATGGTTGGAAGGGTGTGGGCGGGGCGATGGGTGGGATCGTCCAAACAAAGACGGTTGTTTCAATTATTTTGAAAGATTTTATTCCAATTCCTACCAACCAAACTATAACACCCTAGAAATTTATGATTCATAAAATAAATTAATGTTAAGGGTAAAATTTTATAGGTTAAACGACATACGGTAGTAAAGTGTCGATACTAGAAAAATAAGATTTTATTGCAATAAATAAAATCAATAAAAAAAGAAAATGAAATATTTTGTATTTATTTGATTTGATATGAAAATACAGAAAGGAAAACTAGAGGACTAGTTTTGCCAAATGGGGAAAATTGATTTGGAAATGATTGAGATTTGAGAAAATCATTCCCAAATCACGTTTTTGGGATTTAAGGACAGGTTTGATGCTTTATAAGTTGGAATTTTTGGATGAATTTTTTTGGAGACGTTCCCAAGAGTGTAAGAAAGTAAACATCTTTGAAATTTCGAGATTTCATCAAGAAACAAGAAAGATATCGAGTTTGGAGCGGCATAGGGATTATGCACAAAAACGACGATTGGAAGTAAAATACTCAACCAAAATTGATGTATAATATATAGTTGGCTTCATTTTTCAATTACCTTTCTGTTGGTACAAGTCTCATGGGCTATGGTAGCCTGTACGTCGAGTGGCTTGGGCTAGAAGCTGTTGTGGCGGCTACTTGACGAGATTCAGGTACAAAAACTCAATACAAGTTTAAAAATGGACCAGAGGGGCTGTAAATTTGGGTATGGTTTGAGATCATTATTATATATAAGATTCTGTAAAAAAATTGGTGAAAAACGATCGGGAAACGATCTCAAACGAAAGTCGTCCACAATAGCTGCACCAAAGGTGCGACCGGGTTGGGCCGGCCGGCGTTGGACTACGTTTCGATCGAGTTCGATTAGACTCGAGTCGTTTTAATAAAATCCATATTTATTAAAAAGATATTTGAGACTCGTTTATTTACTTGGATTAATCAAAATAAATCGGGATATTTCGATTAAGTTGGTCAAGATTTGTACATCAACTAAAAAAGATATTAATTATTTGGATTTTCATATTTAAATTAAAAACGAGAATCGTATGTAATTAAATGTTGGGTTGATACGTCGTAATTTATTTTGGACGTAAACCATTTCATTGGGGGGGGGGGGGGGGGAGGTACATGGCGACGAGGTATGTTTGGGATTGACTCGTTTGACTTTTAGGTTGACTTTTTGGGAAAAGTCATGACTTTAATTATGGAAATATAATTACATATTATAGGATATTACCCAAGGACGATGTTTAGTTAAGTGGAGCTATTCAGGTGAGTCTTCATGAGACTTTAACTGAGATGCATGCTTACGTACAAATTATTTGAGCATTATGTTGTCTTCATGTACGTGTTCATGGGTTGTTACATATATATGAATTATTATCATGGGTTGCATGCTATTTTGTTTATGCGTACTTAAACGTTAATTAGTAAAAATGAGTTAATAATTTGTCGGGTATGAGAATGGGTCAAAAGTCATAAGGGATGGCACATCCTAGGGATGGATGATCGGACAAGGGATAGCCGTGTAACTCAGGGAAGTGTCAATGACGGTAAGACCTTAACCCGACGGAAATTTTAGAGATCTCATTATTATTTAAAAAAGATCTGAAACAAATGTGCATATTATTTTATTTGAGATATTGTTTGTTTTATGCATGATGATATATGTATGATTGTGCATAAAAATCATGATGTCAATGAACTGACAATTAGTATGCATCTTAGGTGCAAGAGGTTCAAGGTCAAATTTAATTACGATTCCTTGTCAAATTTGTTTGATGGATTCCAATTTCATCAAATTCTATTCTCTGAACCAAACACTCCCTAGGATATCAAGCAACCATGGGTATGAGATAGATTCTATGGCAACAAAACTTTTGTCGTTTAATAGATCCTATATCAGAGAGATTTTTGTATTTGCATTTTAGTTACCGGTTAGCATGCAACAAGAATCCAAAGTTAGATGTCATGACCATAAGCATGTTTTTAGAAGGTAGAAGAAGCAACAGTTGCCATTAAATTACCGTAATTCCCCTTTCATGAGTTCTTTTTTTACTGAAATATGTTTTTACACATGTAAGTATCTACTACTAAACTTTTATATAGATATAGTTTTACATGTCTAAGAAGTAAGAAGGCAGATTGCGAGCGTTGAATGGCATGATGCATCGAATCTCATTAAGTCATTTATGTTGCAGATCATGATGGATTGATGAAAGATATTAGGAGGAATGTGTGAAACCCCACAACAAGAAGGACAAAATAGCATAAATGTCACAAAGCATTAATTATTATAACCAATTAAGAAAAGAATCAAGAACCAATACAGTCAGGTATTTACAAGGTTTTAAATCGGGTGACAAATTAAAGGCTCAAGCCTTAGGAGCTACGGCGAGGCCTTGACGTTTTTTCAAGGCGACAAATCTGTATCATATAAATTAATTATAGATATAAACATATATTTTCTATTACTATTCAATGAGTCAATGATGTTAAATAACTTAAATTAGGTTATGCATAAAAAATTAACAAAGAAGACATTAAAAGAAGCAAGAGAAATTAAATATTATGTGCATTAGGTCGTGACATGATGCACAAATATTAAGCTACAGGGATTGTTGTGGCAAGCTTTTTTTTAACACTAAGTATTTATATACAAACAAATCTCATAATATATATATATATATAATATGAACATTCAGAAATTTTAATATTTAGTAGCCCGAATGGAATGTGTTCGAACTTCAAACCCCATACATAGTTGATATTTGATAAAAAGTCATTGGACTTAACTGGGCCAGGACCAAATATGATTTTGTGTTTGGACCAAAATTCAGTTATAATTATATTATATATCTCTACTCTCTAGTAAATATGAGTAGGACAGAATTTAATTATAAATGGTTGTTAAAAGATTATCAAAATTTCTTACCCAACTCAAAACTTCTTGACTGAATTTAATACAGAGGTTCCATAACGCTAATAATGACGATAAAAGATTGATTGAAATAATTTTACAGTGTAAATCAAGTTTATAATAGGATAAACCGAAGAAAAAGGTTTGACCTTTGTGTTTCTTGAAAGCCCCGGTTACCATCATCATACAAAAATAGCATAAACACAAACCATCGATGGCACTAAAACAAGATGAATCCATTGTGATGATTTTATAACTAAATATATAAAACAACACTTATGGTTTGGGTTGGGGATTTAAAAAGTGTAAAGTGTTTCTTGACAAGAAAATATAATATAAGAAAATATTAATGTAATGCAAGTATGCATAGCCATAGGGTTAAAAGTAATTGTTAGATTATATTATAATACTAGAAAAAAGAAAAACATGAGAGTCCAGTCCATTATTAATATAATAAATTCATTGTATACCTCTTTTTTGGAAGTAGCACTGCTCCTCCAGTTTGCATTACATACAGATGCTCCTCTGCAAATCTACTTCAGTAAAGTTAAGGTAGGCCACACCCAAACCCAAACCCAAACCCAAACCTAAACCCTAATCCTTTGCGCAAGAATCATCCACTTTACCATTACTCCATCTCTCAAATCTATCTTGAAATCAAAAACCATGGTTTTGATTTGATACATACAGAAAAGAAAAGAAAAGAAAAGAAAAGAAGAAGAAAAACCACCATCATATCCCAGATGTGTTCCATGAAACCCTTGCTCCTTATCTCCTTGTTCATCCTCCTCTCCGTGGACCAGGCTATATCTGCCCCAGATAACACAAACTTAGTATACAAAGGATGTGCAAAGCAACCTCTATCAGATCCAAATGGGGTTTACTCATCCGCCCTCTCTGCCATTTTTGGGACATTAATTCAACAATCTTCAAAAGCAAAGTTCTTCAAGACAACCAGTGGCAATGGACAAGCATCTGTTTCTGGTCTTTTTCAGTGTAGAGGAGATCTGAGCAATGTTGATTGCTACACCTGTGTCAGCAGACTGCCAATCTTGATGGACAAGCTCTGTGGTAAGACCGTGGCTGCAAGAATCCAGCTCTTGGGGTGTTATATGCTTTATGAAGTTTCTGGGTTTGCTCAAATCTCTGGAATGGAGTTGCTTTACAAGACTTGTGGGTCATCTAATGCTGGTGGAAGTGGGTTTCAAGAGAGAAGGGATTCCGCCTTTTCAAGTTTGGAAAGTGTTGTGGGGAGCGCAAGTGGTGGATTTTATACAACAACTTATGAATCTGTGTATGTTTTGGGGCAATGTCAAGGTGATTTAGGGACTTCTGATTGTGGGAATTGCGTGAAAAGTGCTGTGCAGAGAGCACAAGTGGAGTGTGGGAGCTCCATCTCAGGTCAAATCTATCTTCATAGATGCTTCATTAGCTATAATTATTACCCAAACGGAACCCCAAAGCCCAAAAACCCATCAGCATCAGCATCCTCTTCCTCTTCCTCTTCATATTCATCACCTTCATCTTCGTCTTCCTCTTCCTCTTCATCATCAGGTATGTATGTTTCTTGGGAAATACAATCATCTTTTAAAATCAAAATTATTGTTTTGAAGGTACATCTGGTGATGTGACAGGATCAAATACAGGGAAAACGGTGGCGATCATCTTAGGAGGAGCAGCAGGAGTTGGGTTTTTAATAGTGTTTTTGTTGATGGCTAGAAATGCAATGAAGAAACATGATGGTAAGTAGTAGTAGTAATGTGCAGAAATATAGTTGTGTATCGTATCTAATCTTTCACTGTGGTTCTGTTTTGTGAACAGATTACTGAAGAACCAAAGATCCAATTTTTGAGTGTGGCTTCTTTCCTTGGTCTTTTTCAAATCCATGAGGCAAAGAAGAAGAAATTGTTTTTTGGTAGATTTAGAGGGGAATGGGAGTGGGAATGGTGGTGAATATTTAGAAAAGAAGAAGGATGTAAGAACTAAGAATGAATGTTTGTCAATGGTGGAAAAAGATGGGGGAAAGACTGCTGTCAATTTTTTGTTTTAATTAATTTTAATATTAAATTACATGTTTTTGTTTTAATTAATTTTAATATTAAATTACATGTTTTTGTTTGGGCTCAAACTCAAAGCCATGTGTGATGTAGCCTTTCCATTTCTTCAATCTCAGCTCAGCCTACAATTTTCAAAGCTGGAAATTGTTTTTTATTTGGCTACACCTACACCTACACCCACACCCTGCTTTATCCTTTTTCTCTTTTCCTTTACTTGTTCATGTCAAACTTTAGAAAAATCAACCCCTTTGTTTTCAAGTGAATTACATGTTTACTCCCTGTGCTTTTCTGTTTTTAACACCTTCAAAAGGGCCACGTGGCTTGCATTTTTCTTAAGAATGGGTCCTTAACCCTAACTCCATTAACATCATCCATAAAAAGCAACTTCCTCTATGGGTTTTTTCTTGAAATAATCTTTCTAGAGATGGCTTTCACTGCATATATCAAGTGTTTTCTATAATTATTTTGTTTTAGGGATTGAAAATGTCAAGAACATGAAAGCACAGGGCCTAAACACATAATTAATTCACTCTATGTGTTTTGATTGTATTTTTGTACTGCTTTAAGTTCATAAAGTATATATCATGGAATGGAAGTACTGCGAATGGTAGATTATAGTTTGAAATTATAACCATGGAAATATTAAATGCTGATAAATATTAGAAAAAAGTGAAAGGTAGAATAGTCTTCAACACCATCCATCTTTAGTGGGAAAAGCTTCAAACAAATGGAAAACTATATATCAAAGGAATCGACTCAAATCATCAACGAAGAGGATTTGATTAAGTAAATGGAAATGGAGGCGACATTTTAAAGTAAGATTCCAATACATGGTTAAGGAAATGCTGCCATTGTTGTTAATTGAAGTTCAGATTTGATGATGGAATTCTTGATTAAGTATTAGTATACATGAGTTATTGGCAACAATGGTCAACTGTTTGAAGGCTAAAGTAATCAGTATAGCAAGCTAGGCGTAAAATATATAAAGAATGATAACAGAAACGTTGACCAAGCTGAAAAGAAGGTTCTACCCAAAGTCTTATTTGGCTCACCACCATCCCTAACAGCCACAAAAATAAATCTTTCTTTCACACGGATTTTCTTATTCAAATCATTCTCCTTCTTCTTCTTCTTTTTTTTCTTTTATGGTGTTTCAGACCTCCAAAGTAAGTTTTCTTGTTTCTTCCTCTTAGCCTTAGATTATGTGCATGTACATGTTAATTGATGATTTTGGTTCTTTGAATTTGGAAAGTGTATCCAAAGGTAAAGGTAAAGGTAAAGGTAAAGGTGATGGTGAGACAAGAAGAACAACTACCAGAGCTTCACATCCAGTCTCTCTCTTTATATCATCATCATCATCCATCTAAGTCTCCAGGTGCTTCTTTCTTTCTTTTTCTTTCTTTTTTGTTTTAAACACAATACAAGACTAAGGTTCACTCCTAATCCTATCTAAAACTCTATGGCTGCAGAACATAATGATGGTCACACCTACACACCACCATTTGTGAGGGTTTCTAAGTCTCATATCTCCACTTCAGGCATGGCTAAGCTAATTAACATTATATTTTCATAATTAATCTAACCTTTTTTACCAAGTTTAAGGCTTTACTAATTATCTGAATGTTGAATCAGACGCAGGCCACAACCTCAACACAAAAGTAAATACCAACAAACCAACTTCACTCCTGTTGCGACCACGAGCTGTTTTATCAAGTCCAGGTACTACCATGTCTCTTCTCTTCTTATTTGCTATCAAATTAGAATCATAATTTACATGAGCCTAACTGTTTATAACTTTTTGGCAGAAAATGATGCAATGCATGCAACCAAAAACAAAACAGAAACACATCATTCAGGTTTCAAGAATCATAATTTGCGTCAAAACAGGCATGTCAAGTGCAACAAGTCTTATCAACTTGAAAACAAGAACAAAAGCAGCTCATGGGAACAGTGAGGAATAAAATTGTTCATCGTTCAAGGTTATAGAGACTCAACAAATCAATTATATGTACAATTAGAAAGTAGAAAATATATATGTTCTGATTTTTCTTTCTTTTGTATTGGCATTCTAGTTTTAAGGGTAATTTTATGTTGTTCCTGTTCCAGAGAAAAAGATCCTACTTTCTTTTTTATCTGTATTTAACACAAAAGCCTCCAATCTATAACTAAAATACAGCAATTGTATATGTTATTGGCATGAAGCTATTACTATTACAAAATCAAATTAAGAATTCATGTTTATAATCAATGTATTCCTCATTCAAAAGAATCACAAATTATTCTCAAAGGATGCATAAATATTCTAACCGTTTATATCTCAAAACTACATAAAGAGAACTAACGTCTTAATATAGAATGAATAACGGAACCATATAACATCCATAGAATTAATCAATGTTACTGCTGGCTGAGACCGTCAACATTAGCCCCAAGCCCAGTTGCAACAAGTTGTGGTGAGCTTTCTTCTACCTCCAAAGAATCACAAATTATTCATGTGAATTTTCATTTACATGAATCTCAATATTCATGCTTAACTCGTATACAGAAGCCAAGATGTGGAAAATCACCTGAATAAGATTCATCTTGTACTTGGTCTATATCCCACAGAAAGCTAGCATATGCTGCAAGAATATTACTACAAACAAAATACTTGAGACGACATGCATTTTCAATCAAGCTCTTCAAGGGAATATATATATATATATAGATGCATAAAGATGACAGATTAATAACAAAAGTTGGAGCTCAAAATATGAGTGCATACCAGTCTCCGGGAGCAGCATAAACAGCTCTCTCAAAGTAACTTAAGGCTCTATCCTGGTCACGATGAAGCTCCCAGACTAACTTAGCGTATTGCATCAGAATTTCACCATCATTAGGATCTTTTATTGTAGCACGAAAATAGTAATCCTCAGCCCCAGTAAGATCTCCCTCGGACTGTACCATTTAAAAACGGGTATATCAGGAGATGAAATAAAATAAAACAAATTAAAGAAAATGATTTGTCACCTGCAAAAACCGAGTACGGTTTCTCAAAACAATAAGGACAGAAAGGATCTTCACTAACCATCATCATCTTATAGTAGTACTCCTCCTCGACATCACCACTCTCATTGAAACCTCCCATACCATCAATCCCAAGCCCTGTAGCAAGATACATTTTAGGACTTGGTGGTTCGATCTGGTCTTTTGCATTCTCTTCTTCAGTTCCCAAATTCTTGAATTTATGAAGATCATCTTCATCACCCTCCACAATCAATCCCATACTCCTCTTTGCAAAAGTGAATCCGCAACTATCCATTCCTTCCAAAGTTTTAGTCCCCAAATCCCCTTTCTGGTTTTCAAGACACCCATCTTCATCAGCATAAATGGAGAAAGATGGTTCAGTGTGCAACATGGATGGTTCTTTCTGAAATCTTGATTTGACAAAAGCTAAGGCTTCCAAAATGCTATGATCAAGCAAATGATATCAAAGAAAGATGAGATATTTTAGTGGTTGAAATTAATTAAAATTAAAGGTGATTGGGTTTTCAATGAAGCATTTGTGAAAGATCCAATCCTACTTGCAAAATTATAAGATAAAGAGAAGGAGAAGATTGCAAAATAAGTAATATATCGAGATTCACGTGAAAGATAGAAAAAAGTCAGATAGGTGGTGCATTCACATTTTCTGTGGGATGGGAAGTGAGATTGGCCAAAGGAACATAATCACCGCCATGCTACTTTATCACTCACTGTCTAAAACAGCTAGTTTTTGGATCTCAAAGTTCCAATGAAGTTATATGCTACTTTATGGAATCAAATATGTCTTGAACGATTTAAGTTAAGTTACATACTAAAAATATATATATAATAATCAAATAATGACATATAAAACCGCATATGTCGTGCCACAAGGTGTCACAGACGAGCCTTGAGCTAGGATTTGCTACAAAGAGCCTCGTACATACACCTGAAAACACAACATATTTTTTTGTCATCAACTTCCCTGGCCTGAGGTGGTGGAGATTCTGTTATAGTCATTCATATATCGACGCATGGCATGGCATGGCATGGCATCAAAACAGTAGTATATAACACACCACTTGTTCATTCAAACATCCCAACGAAATGAGAGGAAACAAATTCATAAAAGAATAAATGTCAACATAAGAATTCCTCCTCAAATTAGAATAATACTAACTCATTCACAAATACAGTTTTGCTATACTTACATTTCAACTTCTTAATATATACATCTAAAATCCAACCATACACCAATGTTGGTCTACAACAAAACTTACCCTCTTATGTCAGTGCCATCATCATACCAGAATCACCATCAGCTGAAACCCAACATCTTTTTATACTTGCTACTTCTAAACCCTTTACTTATTAGTCACAGAGAGATGACAGACTTCAGACTCTTGAGCTGCCAACAAAACATCTTCTAGGTACCTGTCTACAAATTCAGCTTAAAATTAGCAAAATGGCAACTTTCATATCTTATGCAATAATCCATAGTGGAACACAAACATTTCACAGATAAAAATGGAGTCAGGTATCCAAAACACGAGGAAATGGAACAGATTAAATACAATGCCTCAAGAATAGGCAACTTCCTAACACAACCATGAAATGCGTTCATAAAAGCCCCATCATTACCGCTCAACTTCTGAAACAATGATTTACATCCATACAAATTTCATTTTATCCACTGCTTCACTTAATTAGGTAGTAACACAAGTTGCAATATTGAGAAAATAGGTCTTAACACAAAAATGCACAAAGATTTTTAGCAAGGAGAGAAGGTTGGATAGCAGTGTGACAGACTCACAGTACTTATCTCAGCTCCCTGAGTAGTATATGATGGGCACAAACATGAGGCTAACATTTAAGTCTCCCGTATGGGGAGTACGTTCACAAGATGAGAATAGAAGAATCCAACGGTGTCCCTATTCCTAAATTGTATAAAAACAGCACACCAAGATTGTCTGATGGTAATCATTGAATGAAATCAGTATCTATGCAGAGCAACAAAATAGAAAAATCAACAAGTTTACATCAGAATGAATATTCACATGTAAGATCAAATAAGAAACATAAAGTACAATAAAGGTGGTACTTTCTGTATCTAGTGTAAAAATCATTCCAAACATGCCAAGTTGCCAACAGTGGAGTCACAAAACAGAGACAGATGATGCATCATGCATGTTAATTTAGTTATCTATATTGTGGGGATACCGGTACATAAAACATGAGCACCGGAAATTTAATAAAGATGTGGGGTTATGTTTGTATGCACACAAAAAAATGGAGATAGATTAGTCTCAGACCAACAAAAAAAGGTATTTCAGGATAATATTACAATTTACAAGATTTGTAGTTACATGTCTTATGATGATTGTTAATACTGTAATACACTAAAAAAGTAACACCCTGATTTGTTTCTACAACAGATCAACTAGGCCTAAAACATGAAAATACTATTATATTAATGATGAGAAACAAAAAATAAGGGTAACATATAATATATATTTGTTTCTACAACACATCAATTGAATGTGAAACATAAATATAAAAAACAGGAGTAATTGGGAACAAATGTGTTCAAATACTCAACATTGTATAAGCTAGCAGGACTAACTGTTTCTAATTAGGATAAACGTCAACTGTCAACCCTGTGTAGGACTGCTAGCAACGAACCCAAACACTTGAAATCCAACATATATGCAAATTTTCATCTAATAACCACAAAGCCTCCTAAGTAGACATAGGCTTCACATGCCAGAAAATTCTGAAGTCCTGTCCTTTTATTTTGTATTCTTACCTGCAAATTTCTCTGTCAATGGAGATGCACGGATACAATGAGACATGGTATTAAGAAGGGTTTTTCTACTACAACTCTTGCTGTTTGGTTGGTTTTCCATCAAGTCCTGTATGGATAAAGCTGTTTGTGTGGATTAATCTGTCTGTATGGATTGGGAAGGTTTTCGTTCAAGAGAGTTTTTTCATAGGTTGAATGAGCATGTTTTTTAATTGGGAAGGATAGGTTTGTAAAAAACTTGGCTTTTTGCATAAAATCTTCCCTACAATCTTACTGAATAAGCCAATTTCTATACCATTAAGCCACTCCAAACAGTCAGGTATAGCTGACCGAATAAGCTGTGAGTCCCATTAAGCTCATTAAGCTGCTAACAAACAGGCCCTTACTCTTCTAAAGCAGAGGGCTAAGCAAGAAAACCAAAACAACAAAATAATGCAAAAGATGTAATACAACCAAATTAGAAAAACAAAGAACAACAACGATGATAATCACAAAAATGAGAACATGTTGTGGAAACCAATATGCCTTCATTTTCCTGCTACAGATACATTTTAGCATGCAACACCCGATGCAAGGTTTTCCTTGTCCACATTAATAGGCTCTACTTGGGACTTTAAGGCAAAATTCTTGTTCACAGAGCACAAGCAGTATCTCGGGTTGAGCAGCAGGAAATAGCCAAACCAGTATGATTAAACCCGCCAGTATTAAAGACATATAATTAAGCATAGGGAAATATGAACAACAACACACAAAAGAAAGCAACATAAAAACCATCAATGGAAATATCAGATCCTGTATGATAAAAAGATTAAAACCCAGTATCATGAATAGAAAATGTAATAAATGATATCGGGCCATCCAAGAAGAAATTCAAGAACAGAAAATGTAATCAATGGGATTGGGCCATTTAAAAAGAACCACACAACAAAGCAGTAATTTATATGGCCAACATATGTAGGATTGGATCCATGCAGTGCCCTCAAAGAAATGCTAGAGCTAATTAGCTACCACCTCCAACAAATTTTGCATATAAGTAACAACTGATCCAGAGTTGACATAAAATAAAAAGTAAGTTGATGGTGAATTCTGGCCACAACAGAGTAGGAAAAAAAGAGCCATCCAATGACATGTCTGATGCAATCTAATATTAAGTTTAGTTGTCAATATGTGAAACTGTAATTACCTCGGTGCATCATGCCTCCCAGAATCTGCATTGAGAGATACACAAAAGCAAACCCAAAATCGGAATCGATTTAATTACAAATGGATAGCTTCCCCATCCACTCATCTGACGCCCCATAATCAAGACTAAGCTCTCGTAACGGAGGAATATTCTCCATAGCAAAAAGCATAAGGTGAGGAAACGCAAAATTTGAGTGATCATACAGCACCAACTGCACTAAGACATTTGGACATGAGCTGTGGCTCATATAACAAGCAAGATTCCTCATTCTAGAAACATCCATAGCAAAATCCAAAGGAGGAACCGATGGGTATGATGGGCGTACATAGTCGGAAAATATTTGGGACAAATCTCCCCATTCTGCCCATCTCTCCCCAAATCGGTTTGGGTAGACTAAACTATCCCCATTCATGGTAAAAAGTTGGGCTTGCTCTCTTGTGAGAACAACTCCAGTATATTCACAAATAAAAGAACCAGCTTGTATCAAGTCCAGTGATCTAACTCCCCAACCAGTTTCCCTCGATCTAAACACTTCAAATCTATTCCTCAAACCATTTTGGCTGACACGATTTTGACAACTGGGAGGACAACGGCAGTGCGGTCCACATTCAAATATCAATGGTTTTCCTCTCACAAGAAGGCCGTTTGAATCATAAGCAAATTCACCCCCATTCTTCTTCGCACAAAAACAATCATGTGAACATCCGGACACACAATTACACCCACCGGCCTTCCCCCCAAGGTGATACACAAAGGGCGGGGAAACAGTTGTCACTAAATAATCATAGTACATTGGCTCATGATTACCATCAATGTCATTGAATAGAAACACTGGGGCCTTCTCTTTGTTCATTGAAATATCAAAACTGACATATCCCACAGGCCTAACCTCTAAAGGCCTGGTTCTAAGATTCTCTGCAAACTTAAGAGTTGCACTGCCCATTTCAGATTGATTTTCCATTCTAACAAGCTTGAACTTAAACACCCCGAAACCAGATTTACCCACATCAAACCATGCTTCAACAATTTTATACAGCCCGTCATAAACGTAAACTTTCCCACTGGCACTACCTTCGTACCTGAACCCACGAATGACTCGTACTTCAATTCCATAATGCATACTTCTTTCCATAGCAAGATTCCCACCTTCCAATTTCTGATGAACCACTTGCCTCGAATTCTTATCTTGTCCGCCATGACCAGTATATACGATCACATCACCAGCATCTTCATCATCTTCATAGCCACCTGAAACAATCACACTGGTAGCAATTGGCTCCCCATTGGAGCTCTGACTTGAGGTCAAGTAATCAATCCCTGCCTGAGCTTGGCCGTGCATTCCGACAACACATAATTCCATTCTGAAAAAGAAAACATCCCCAATATGAACCCCAGGAATTGCACCAACAATCCGCTTATCACGGTTCAACCAAAGACCGCGGTCTTTCATAACCGAAGCAGCCTTCAAGTCGCCCCGGGCGCGGGGACAACGTGCAATTCCAAAAGACCTACGTTTATCATCTTCCATCACAACTAATACCCTAAGAGAGTCATAAATCATCCTTGTTTTCCTCACCACGTCTCGAAAATACCTCTCGTCCTGAATTCCCAGGTTGGTAACCCTAACCAATTCAGACGACCGAGCTGGGTACTTGCGGCGAGAAGAAACAACGACGGGAGAAAGCTGATTTTCTGCGGGAACCGACACGATTGCTTGTGAGTCGGGATCTGAAGCCTGAATGTCATCGTATTTATCCATGTTCTTGGCAAATGCCGTCCGAAACAACTCTGATATCCTGTGGAATTCAGAATAGACATTGTTTTGGTCTACTTCCGGGTGAGCGCCGAAAAGATTGGAGTCCGGAACTAGAGTGGGGTGCTGTGGAATGAGAGTGAAAGTAGGGTTAGGGTTAGGGTTAGGGATAGGGATAGAAGCTAGGTAGGGTTGTGGGGGGACATCAAGTGGTTGGTCGAGAGGTTCCAATTTGGGCTCGATTTTTGGGGTGATTAAGGTAGCAGCAGTGGTGGCGTAGCCGGTGGCGATAGTGGCGGTGTTAGGAGGATCAGGGTAGAGATTAAGATCAATTAAAGAAGCCATTGGTGGGGTTGAATAGGTAGGTTTCAAGAAAAGAGAGGAAGAAAGAAGAAATTGATTCCTAGAAGAAACAGAATCATGGATTGTGAAGGAACAAGGGTAGAGGGCTGAAAAATGGTGAATTCATTCTGAAAGGGAAACAGGAGAATTTTGGGGGAGAGAGAGAACCCAAATTTGAGTTTCTATGCTTAATCTTGTCCCGCACTCCCTCCCCTCTGGGCTCCTGGTACAAAAATAAAAACTACAAGGATAACGTTTGGTTGGTTTGAGTTTGGCTCTAAAATACTTGGATATTTCAGGTTTAAATCTAAAGAGAAATAAAAATCTTTTTGTGACCACGGAGATTTAAATATGGTGACTCTGGGTTATCTGCAAAACAGATAGTCGTTCTGAGATTAATTAGCTCGCATAATGAAAAATAAAAAAAACAGTATCAACAAATAACGAAACCAAAAAGAATATCATTATCAGATTCTTTAGCTACAAAAATATGAGTTTAATCTTGTAAAAATATGATTTATTACGTGATTAGGTTTATATAACAAGAGTATGATTCAAGATTTTTTGGGCAATTTTAAACGTCAAGCATATGCCTCAAATGATGATAACATTTGCCATATATTTGCATTTGAATCAACAATAAGCATAGAAGCTCAAATCTATATATATATATATATATATATATACACACACATATACATACTTATAATATATAACTAACGTGGGTAACACGTGTCATCTTCTGGTGAGTCGGTTTTCTTGTTTTTCCGCCTAAACATGTATCTAGACACAATTTACACTAACAGTTCAATTATACTAATTTGAACGTTCTAGACACAATTATACTCATTCGATTGACATATGTCTTCTTATTCAATCAACCCCACTAATTTAGGATGCAATTGATTTTATTCTTAGGTTAATTAATCCGTGTTGTAACTGATTCCCGAAAAAAATGGTGTTAAAATCAATTTAATAATATAGTTTCATTTCTAAATTCAATTGTATTCTAAACTCAATTTACTGAAAAGTTTTACTTCAGGTTATCTCAAGAGAGCAAGTCTGAAGTCATTTTTCAGAGTAGCTCACCCGAACTTTGAAGTTTGCTTTTTCAGACATAGCTCACTCGAACTCTGGAATTTGAACTATGAAGTCCTTTTTTAGACTTAGAGTCTGAACTTTGAAGTCTTCTTTTTCAAACTTAGAAGTCTAAACTCTAAAATTTTTTACAATTCTAAAGAGTACAAGTTTAAAGAGTCATTCTTCAGAGTTAACTCACCCGAATTCTGAAGTCTTCCTTTTCAGATTTAGTTCACCCGAAGTTTGTACTCTAAAGCCTTTTTTTTAGTCTGAACTCTGGTTTAAAAGATTTATTTTATACTTCAGAGTTATTTCAAGAGTACAAGTCTGGAGTCATTTTTCAGAATTATACTTTACAGTTATTTCAAGAGTACAAGTCTGAAGAGTCATTTTAAATTTATTTCTAAGTTCAAATTTAATTTACTGATATAGTTTCATTTCTAAATTTAATTTTATTCTAGGGATAACTTCATTTTAACTAATTATTGATATAGTTTCATTTCTAAATTCAAGTCTGAAGAGTTATTTTTTAGAGTTATACTTCAGAATTATTTCAAGAGTACAAGTCGGAATTAGCATCGTACTTTTGATGATCATTCATATCTATAAGATAAGTTCCTAACTTGATTTAATTTTTTCAAATTACCCTATATATACACGGGATCGAACCTAGTATATAGATATAAGGAAAACTCAATAGTGTTTACATGACATCTTTTGATGTTAGAATTCTTATTTCCCTTTTTCTAATTTTTTTTTATTTTTAAAACATGTCTAACATAAGAAAAAGACGATGTCGTCCCTATGTAATAAATGTGTACTTCATTATACACAAGCTATTGTTAATATATTTACATGCATCTTGAACCCCTAACTCTCTATATTTCCTGGTAAACTTTCTAATTTCCCTTCTCTTAAATATATCTTACACTTTAGCATAACCCCCAACTTTTCATATGCCAACAACCTTTGTAGCTTCCTCTTTATTAAATCACTACAAGAAAAATGACCTTTAGAGAAGGTATTGTTTTGTGCTTAAAAGTCTTAAAAGCTTCTCTAAAGCCTTTAGATAAGCTTTTCAATTTTGTCAAAGACCTTCTCTGCGTGACGGTAGGTGAAAGTTTTAGAGAGGGTTTTCGGATGATGTCTTTTTGTTAGCCTTTTGAGACGTTTAATTGAGGCTTTAAATATACTTTTAAAACTTCTCTAAAGGTTAGTCAACTTTTTATTCAAAGCTTCTCTAAAAATATATATATTAATGACACTTTTCAAGCATTTGTGACGTTTTATAAGAGTTACTAAAAGATACTTTTAGAGAAGGTAATGGAAAAGTTTCTCTAAAGATATTGGCTTTAGTGATACTTTTAAAAAATCTTCTCTGAAAGTCCTCGTTAGTTACACTTTCAAAATCTTCTCTAAATATGATATTTAGATACACAAACTCAAAATCTTCTCTAAAAATTATTTTTAGTTACACTTTTAAAAAATCAATTTCTTCTCTACAAAATATATTATATATTTATTTCATCCATAATTCAGTTATATATATATATATATATATATATATATATATATGGAAAAGTTCAAAAAAAACCCAACGGACTTTACTGTTTGGAACGATTAAGTCCTTGGACAATTTTTTGGAACAAATAAACCTTTGGACTTTACAAAATTTGTTAAATAAATCCTTAGATTTTACAAAACTTATTAAATAAATCCTCATCCCTTAAAATCGTAACCTGTAACTTGAATAGAAGGTAACTTAAATTAAAAAAAAACTTAAAGAATCCTAAAAACTCATCTCCCTCCATCGCTCCCTCCCCTCCCGTCTCCTTCTCCCTCTCGCACACCGTTTGAGACCACATCACCCCTTCCCTTCCCATCCCAACAAAATGGTCTCACTGGAAACAACTCCTCCTCCTCCTCCTCCGGCCACCGCCAGTCCCCGGATTTCCTTCTCCGGCGATTTCCTCGACGATGCAAACTTCATCTGCATTACCCCACAAGATAAAGAAAAGGAGATCAAAACAAGGACCGGCGAGTTTGAGTTTCTGTCCGGCGACTTGTCCAGTCCGGCGACCATGCTGACCGCCGACGAACTCTTCTTTGAAGGAAAATTACTCCCCTTTTGGCAGAATGAAAAGCTGAATAAAATCAACATAAAACCTGAAAAAGTGGTTGCAAAAGAGGCAGTGACGATGAAAGAAGATGAAAACAACAACAACAACAAAATGAGTTGGTTTATCGACGAAGATCCTTCTCCTCGACCACCAAAATGCACAGTTCTATGGAAGGAGCTATTACGGTTGAAGAAACAAAGAACATCTTCAGTACTTTCACCATCTTCATCCACTTCTTCTAACTCTTCTTCAAACTCCATTGATGATCAAGATTCAAGCAAGAAAGAGAAGCAGCAGCAGGTTAAGAGAATTAAACAAGGGTTAGAGAGAACCAGATCCAGTGGTATAAAGATTAGACCCATGATCAATCCTGTAAACTTGATTTCAAGATTTTCGATAACATGAATACAAGTTGCGATCATGATCAAGGAATTGGTGGGTCCAAAAATGGATTACAGGGAGCAACCCTGAAGAACAAACCCAAAAGACACAACAACATCAACGTACCAGCTCGTCGCCGCCATTAACTTTTGGTGAAATTATGTCCAAAATTTGTATGCAGATTATTATGTTTTGGATACAACTTTTGTATATTTTACGAATAGTAATGAGAATGGTATATTTGTTTTTTTTAATGTAAGTACTTTTTTCGTTCAAAAAATATTTATGAACTTGATCGTTCAAAATATGAAAATCCATTATTTTTTCGTACCTTTTTCACTAACAAAATGTATTTAACATATTTTAGAAAGTCCAAGGACTTATTTAAAAGGTTTTGTAAAGTCCAAGGACTTATTTAACAGGTTTTGTAAAGTCCAAGGGTTTATTTGTTCCAAAAAATTGTCCAATGACTTAATTGTTCCAAACAGTAAAGTCCGTTGGTTTTTTTTGAACTTTTCCCATATATATATATTACAATAAAATTAAACTGATAAATAATATTAAATTAATCATGAACAAATTAATAATAATCTCAAAACAATTTAATATATATAAGAACCATCCAAATTTAATATTCAACTAGTTCATATATTGTCTAAATTTATCAACAAAAAACATCCAAAATCATCATAGCATGTTTAACGATCTTGAGTCTCCGAACGTTAGTCTTGAACAGTTAATGAAGATGAAAAACTTGGAACTGACCGGCCGGATACATTTGTCGCAACTCAGCGATTTCATCCTTCATAAGAAAGAGCTCGGATTTGGTTGAAGCAAGCTCGGACTTCACCCTTTAGCTGCTGATTTTTTATCCACGGAACAGCTTCTTTAGGTGCCGATTTTTTGCCACAAAACAGCCCTGTAGCTGCTGAAATTTAGCCAAAAAACATCTCCTTTAGCTTCTGATTTTTACACACAAAATAGTCCCTTTAGTTACCAATTTTGAGCCGATACAGTCCGTAAACCAAGGTTGAAATTTTAGTATAACTTTTAAATATAGCTAATTACGGTTGGTTTAATATCCAATGCACATATGTTGTAATCAAGAACTTAAGAATCATATTAAATTCATAGTATATAAAAAGGCATCGGGTTGGGTTCAAATAACCCTAACCCATTTCCAACCCAACAAATGTGGTTTGGTCTAATTTTGTAGCAACTATATGTCGGGTTACCTCATGAGTTTTTTTTTTTTTGAGGGTTTCGGGTTGGGTTGGCTGGTAATTTGAGCACCTCTAATGCACACACAAGGTTGTTGCAGAGCTACTATCTGTGTAAAAATGGAGAAGTTGAAGATGGAGACACCAACAGATATCATTCTTCAAAACACGGTACACATGTGTCCTACACAAGGGAGAATATCTGGAATGCCAAATGATGGATAAATGGAAAACCTTTCTGTATCAAGAGAGAAGAAATTACCTTCATGACAAACAACTCTGGCATAGGAAGTGCTCCATTTGGTGTAATGAAGATCGATGAAGAAGGGCGTATAATTGAATTTGCAGAGAAACCAAAAGGAGAAAAACTGAAAGCTATGAAGGTTGATACCACAATTTTAGGCCTTGACGAAGAAAGAGCTAAAGAGATGCCTTATATTGCTAGTATGGGTATATATGAAGATAAGTTCCCTGGASCAAATGATTTTGGAAGTGAAGTAATTCCTGGAGCAACTTCTATTGGGCTAAGAGTATGTTTCATTTCCTTACTTTTTAAATTAGCCTMTGTTCTTGATTTAACTTCACTGTTGGTTTGAGCAGTAYTGCATTTGAATACTCTTTTTAGTAACAAATCTTGATATAAATATTGCCAACTATCCAAAATCTATATTGAACATACAATTGATTGATGTTCGAACAATTCAACCCCCCCCCCCAGCCCACTAGAGCAGTTCCCTGGACATTGTTCAACAACACAAATGTGTTGAACACATGCTAAGAAATAAGCACGAGAACATTAATTGTGTTCAAGTACAGATAGACATACAGAGGAGATATGATACTCTCAAGTATAGATAGACATAGATATGATTAGCTAATTGCATTAACATCAAACAAACACCAAAACTAACCAACAATTGAATGCCGGTAGTTTAAGTTAGACAATGCACTCCTACACCACTATCAATTAACACAAATGTAACTGGAACTAATGGTTGCTACTATGATTAAGCTAAGAACAATTTTAGGTTTTCAATTTCAACGCATACCACAAAACCATAAAGATAACTAAATTAATCTCAACATACTGCACAAATAGCCTCCGATGTAATCCTTGACACAATCATCAAGATACAAACACAAAAACCACATATAAATCAATTTCTTATTGCAATTTACAACAAAGAAAAACGAAAACCATACAAACTTACTATCGAATCTGGTTGATGGAAATGTTGTTAGGCCTTGATCTATGATTGAGCGGAGGCAACGATCTCTAATTGAGCCATTTGAGGGTGTGAGCTCCGATCTATGATTCGAGCTTTACATCACATTCCYGTTGGCGACGAGATTGGCGACGAGAAGAGAGAAGAGAAAGGTTAACTAAACACTTATTATTTATTATTTARTTTTGATTTATTTTTAATATAAATCTTTTAAATCATATATTTTTTTATTTAATTTTAATTTATTTTTTAATATAAATCTTTTAGATACATTTTGAAGGGTAACTGAACAATATTATTTAATTTTAAAAATCTTAATTTTTTTTTATTAATCTTTAGGGAAGCTTAAAAAAGTGTTCCTAAAAATTGATGCAATTTTTTAGAGACATTTTTTATAAAAAACTTCTCAAAACTTTTAACGACATTTATTATACCGTATAATTAGCCTATAAATCATTCTTTAAATGTCGTCCAACCTTTAGTTACATTTCTTATTTTTGTCATTTAAATCCTTCTCTATAATGGAGCTTTAGATACACTTCTAAAAGCTTTTCTGAAGATTTCTTCTCTAAAGCTCCTTCTTCTTGTAATGAATTGTGGCTTTCTCCTCTCTTATATGTAAATTTTTTACATACATCTTGCAATATACGTTAAGTAGGTACTCTCCAATGAAAGTCTCCATCACTATTGTTACGCGAGGCCAAACAATCGCCGATGAAACATGTGCTCGTTGAATGGTCTATTATTATTTTTATTGTATGTTAAGTATTCTAAGTGGATCTACTTCGACACCAACTTCCTATTGCATCATGTTTCAAAAATGCAAGAAGAACTATTTTAGTTCTCCTACGCATACCTATAGTTTCAGTATTCGATAAGCAAATAATTTTTGTGTAAACATCATTTGTTGGATTAGTTGAAGGTGTTAGCGTCATATTCTTACAAACCTTTAGCATTTGAATCTCTTCTTTAAATGTAAGTTATCAAAGTATTCCGCAAGCACTACACATTAATCACATCAACATTGAATCATGAAAATATGTGATGAAAAGATTACCCCAAATATTTGATTATACAAATTGAAGAAAAAAAGTTTAAACTACTTTCAAAAGTTTGAAAGGATGCGACTTCCTAATAGCCTCTTTCTCTTTTTGGTATCTTTATTTCATATTATTAAACATTTCAACAAAAAGGTGGTTCATGATATCTATCATCTATATGAATTTGTCTATCTTTCTCTCCTTTAAAATCTCAAAGGGATTGACATTTTCATGGAGGGTTTTTTATGTTTTATTTTGTCTCCGAATGCCGCTCTTTTTAGAGTTATTTATGCTCTTAATTTTCATTCAAATGTTCTTGATGAGAGATTTTTGAGAAGACGAAAATTCGACAAATAATAACTAAAAAGCATTAATGATATAATATTTTAAATGTATTCTATTTAATTTGAATTAACAAAGAAAGTTGGTTGTTAGTTGGTGATTTGGTGGGACAAATGTAAAGAGATTTTACAAACTTGAAAAACAAATTTGGAATAAGGGAAGTTTATGAACGAACAAATATATTTATTCCTTGCAATTATATTTCTAAGAATTATAACATAATTAATACTAATCATGAATGTAAATGTAGTAATATCGTTTATAATATGTCTAAAAACGTCTGTAATGTTAATTTAATTATTATAAACAAATAATGTTTATGAACAAGAACATGAAAGCTTAAAAGTATCAATTTTTTTTGAAATTCTTGTCTGAACGGATGATAACACAGAAATTAAACGAAGATGTTGATACTTAATTAGCTAACCAATGTTGTTTATGGTTTTGAACAAATAAAGGATTACCACAAATGATTTTTTAGAAAAAGTTGTATAAAATAGTACATGAAAAACGAATTCACATCTTTTGACCATTAGAACCGGGTACTCAACCTCGTTTGGCTTTTTCAGTTCAAGATAAATGCATTTGCAATAATAAAAAAGTTCACAAAAATTGAAAATTACATTTATCTCCATAGTTGAACATTATTCAAGAAAACAATATAGATGGTACTTGAATCAAAAGAACTCTTTGTTTTTGTTAGAAAACATCTGAGGCAAATGAAATCGATACCATTAATTATATAACATATTCTATTTGATTTTGAATGCATATTTTCTTTTCATGGAGGTGGCTATATAATAAAAAGAGATCTTATAATATATTGTTTTTTTTATATGTAATCGTTTTTTCTCTATTTAATTAACTAATTTCATATGATGGTTTATTATCGTTTTCTTTTACGTGCAACTCAAAACCGGTTTAATAAAGAGGTTAAGCATAAAAGTTATATTAGAAACATTATTTTTGTGTTCTACCAGTATAATTCTTAATACTGCATACACATTTACAACTAACCATTTTTGTACAACTTTAATTTCCACAACGGAGCATTACTAATGCGGGCCATAGTGTGGACTGTGGAGACAATGCCTTATTCTTTATGGAGGCCCATGACCAAGCTAACAAAGGGTGTCGTGCTTAAATGTGCATAACTTTTGTGCGAGACTCTATTTTAGGTTCATAATATATCGATTTGAAGCTTGAAATGAGGAACACGCTATGGGGAAGTATTCGTAGAATCAACGGGATCAACCTTCGTTCATTTATCGTGTACATCAATTATTTTTTACAAGTTAGTTGTCAGTGAATTAACGAGTTATGTCTCACCTCAAAGTAATTATATATTTATTTTCTAACAACACATTTTTTTCATAATGCACTAGTTTAGGTAACGGGAATACCAATATGATATTTAGATCTCCGAGTGGTGACCTCAATACCTAATTAATCCTACCCATCCATCATCCACTTAATTTTAAGTTACTCCGCATCTTTCATTAACAATTTCATACATGTTAAACTGCTTAAATTTATATAAAAACTCATATAAAGGTTTGTAAGTGTTTTTATCATTCTCATCATGAATATTAATAAAGGTTTGTAAGTGTTTTTATCATTCTCATCATGAATATTATTCTTATACGATCTCAGCTATATCTAACACCTATATACATCATCCAACAATCCACATACACATATTATAAGGCAATTAATCCCCAGTATATGGCCCTTCTTCCTTGTCCAAATTATAGAAAATGTCACAATATTATAAGAATGTCCCTGCATAGAGAAGGAACCATTTCTGAATCTTGTCTAAAATAACAACGTGGTATGTAATAAAACACTAAATTATAAGCTGAAAACTAAGAAAAATAGGATATATGTCTAATGTGAATTGATATCAAGTTACAGTTAAAGTCAAATATACATGCATGCATGTATATGTTTTTTTGTATGTGGAGGGATGAATTGATAAGCTCGCATCTATTAATTATTAAGGAAACTCTATATAATATATATGATTCATTTAATTCAATCAAAAACCTTTAATTATTTTGCCATTTTCTGGTTTTCATATATTCCTTGCATGAAACTCTTAAAATTAAGCATATATATATATATACATGTAATTAAATGGTTTTAGTTGGTGGTGGTTGTTAAAAATTTCAGTACTAATTAACCATCATTAACTAATGCTTATCATTAAGGAAATAAAAAAGTGCTACAAGATATTATTTATATATATATATATATATATAATTAATAATTAAGACAAGGTGCCTGGTGATAGGTAGCAGAAAAGTTAGTTCCATGAACATCATCCAAGTTCCACAACCCATCCCACATGCCAACATCTTGGTTGATCATGGAGGATTGATGATCAGCTGCAGGTGCATAAAACCAACCATTCAACAATATCATCCCATGGATTAAACTTTCTTCTTCTTCTTCTTCTTCTTCTCTCACAACCATGGTTGGACTGCTCTCGGTACTTTCTTCCACCACTAACGACATTATCTTCTTCATATCAGCTTCGTTTTGTTGCACCTGATCAAGAAGTTGTTGTTGTTGTAGTCGTTGTTCTTGTTGAAACTTTTGTCTCTTTAACAGTTTTGTTTTCAACTTTGTGGATTCGTCTAAACTCACTTTACTCTTTTTCTTGAAATGGGTTCGCCAATGATTCTTGATCTCGTTATCCGTACGTCCAGGTAAACTTCTTGCAATTGTTGACCATCTAAACACATATTACATACCATGAGCTTCTACCTAGAAAATCATGTAGATCGAGAAGAAATGGAAGGGCAAATTAAAGAGTGGGCACCTATTTCCCCATCTAGCATGTAGATCAAGAATAATGGTTTCTTCATGAGGGGTAATCCTCCCTCTCTTGAGGTCTGGCCTCAAATAGTTGACCCATCTTAGTCTGCAACTCTTTCCGTTTCTTTTCAAACCTACAATTAATTAATTAATTAATAATCAAGTATAAACACAGATTAATTAACGAATGAATTTAATTGATTAACATACAATGAATCGATGCCAAACTAGTTAATTGATGAGATATGATGTGATTTGACATGATAAGTGGGTTGTTTAAAGATCGAATGATAATATATATATATATAATACCAGAAAGAGTAGCTACAGAATTCCATCGGCCTTCACCATGCAAGTTGACGTGATGAACCAGCAAGCGATCTTCTTCAGGAGTCCATGGCCCTTTTCTCCACCTTTCTTCTGCTCCTCCCATCACTCCCCAATACATCAATGACGTATATATATATATATATATAATTAGCTAAACTAGCTTTAATTATATATATTAAAGGCAATGGGAGCTACCTTAACTAGCTAAATTGTGTGTCTAAGATTGATGATCATTAGCCACCTATTTATACCACCACAAAATTAACCCCTCATCTTTCTACATAAAAGCATGCATGATGATCTCATCAACACCATCTCAAAACCTCCACATTTACCAAATTACCCTTCACATGAAATGATTAGCATCTATCTAAGATGAGAAAATTAATTATTGGAGGGTATCTTAGGAATTAATGAGAAGTTGTTGTATATGGAATGTGTATATATTTATATATATATGTGTGTGTGTGTTTTTTTTTTATTGATGAATATCCTAATATCCAAAGAGTATAATTGTTGATTAAGACATCTGGGACACGTATAACATGGAATGCGTCACCAAAAGTTTCGTTTTGATGAACTTAAAGTAAAAATTAGGAGTGGCTAATGAGGCTTGTGCAGGTGTTCCTAAACGTACTTGTTAAGTCCATAAATCACAATCGTATCTAATTCATTTTATTAATACTAATTAAATTGGGTAATGGGGTTCATTAGTATGTAACTCTACAAATCTTGTTCACTTGTAAATCAACGCCATCTTACCCTATTTAATTTTTGGAATTTATTCTTCAACAAAGCAAAAACCATACTTTCGTAAGATCAATAATGAATAAACTCGATTATAAATATGTTATACAAACTCAATTATCAAAGACAGGATGCAAGTGATGGAAAGAACCCGGACTATGCATAATTAGCATTTGAGAGCTAAAATGGATAAGTTTGAAGATAGATAGAAGCATTATATATAATTGATTGGTAACCCTTGGATCTCATATAATTAATAATCGATAACATTAAGAATGTATGTATATATGTAGCGTCACTACCCATAATGAAATGAAACGAAATGAAATGCATTTTTGCATGGGAGGTGATAACAAGTTTTGTAAATGAGAATATATATATATATATATATATATATATATGTATGTATGTATATATGCATGCTAAATTAAACAAAGGATTATGATCATCGGATTAGTTAATATTATATTTTCCTTGTGAAAGTGCTTCACCTTCACCTACTATTTTCTTTCATATATTTTTATGTAGTTTTATATAATATAAAGTATAATTTATCTTAATTACCTGTTTTCCTCTTATTAATTTTTACAATATTATGAATTTATTACGGTTTTCATCATCCACACAAAAACATCGCCTAAACTACCTTCATGTACCAACACAAATTTCAACGATGACTTATTGTAATATCAAATAAATAAAAGTAAATGTAATTATATTATAATACAAAATCTTATCAATTAAACAGTAACACAAGATCTTCATAGATCCACCCCTACAAAAGAGTCTGAGTCATAATCTTATGTCCTCTTAAATCAAAATCACTCTTTTTGTCTATTGCTCATTCATAGATACTACAAATACATAAAGTTTAGCCTTCCAAACTCATATTTCATTTAAGCGAGAAAAAACCCCACTTTTAACACTTTCCGCTTAACCCGATTCTTTTTGGACCAAACTTTAACCAAACCTTCAAAACAATTGGTATGATCAAGCTTTAAGGTCAGACCTTCGCTTAATAGAATAATAGGCTCGGATTTTGTAACACCTGGAAAGTCCACAGCAATAGACCAACTCAATAATTTTGAAACCAACTTAAAACTATGGTAGAAGTTATTAATAGCTCATAAACTTGAATCTTATAAGGAATTCACATATCTCATTTTTTATTTAATGGGGTAACATTTTGTTACACCTTTTTTTAACCCGGACTTAAACTCCAACTTTTTTTGTATATCTTTAACATATATACGGTTAACTATGTGTATTCCAAGCTTTTAAAAGTTTCAAAAAAAAAAAGTATGGCCAAATATAACAAATAGGTTGAGGGAATATGCATAAATTAACATATTTTTTTAATTAATCTATACTATATTATAACACTACTAGAAAACCAGGTATCAGCAAGGAAAAAAATTCCTTGTAGATCAGCGTCGCTGAAGGTTCCCTCGCTGATCCGTCACTGACATTTTCCCTTGCAGATCAGCGTCGCTGAATGTTCCCTCACTGATCCGTCACTGACATTTTCCCTCGCTGATCCGTCACTAATATTTTCCCTCGTTGATCCGTCGCTGATAGTATCCCTTGCAAATCCGTCGCTGATCCCCAGCTGATAGCATTATCTACGAGCATTTGAGCAACGGAGTATCAGCGACATATAACCCTTTTAGCGACGGATTTGCGAGGGAATTTTCTGTCGCTGATACTCTACATTTTTGTAGTGAATAAAACATTTGACAAAAACTCTTAAAAATCATTTTCATACACGAAATACTGTTTATTGATGCATATTACTTAAAATCTAATATTACAAGTAAATTATGCGTAAGTACAACTTATATTTAAAGGTTCATGTTTGAATTTATGTAATTAATTACAGATAAGCATAATCAAATACCGGATAAACATTTTATTTTAAATAAAAAAAATCCAAAATATAATTAAAATATTTATTGAGTTCTAACAAAATACTTAATTTATAAAAAATTATATTATTAAACCTAAATTATATTATTTCATTACGTTAAATCAAATTATAATAAAAAAAATTGAATTAAATAAATTTCACAAAACGAGAACTTTTAAATAGTTAATTAGGTACTAATATCGATATATTTTTTTTCTAATTTTTATGATATTTTCAAATTTATATTTTATTAAAAAATAAAAACATTATCGTTTTCTCAAAACCACATAAAATCGTATTATATCGTCATAGGTAATTAATAAAACGAAACATTAAAATCGAGATGTATCTCGATACATTGCATAAAATATCCTTATAATATATATATATATATATATATATATATATATATATATATATATATATATATATATATATATATATATAAGATAGGTGTATCCGATATGTTCTAATCAAGTTTAAGTGGACGAAACACGCTTGTTGATCTTTTCACGCCTCTTATGATCATCATCTTTTAATAACTTTTCATTCTTCCAAAAAAATATCTACCACCAATTTTAATTTTAATTTTAATTTTAATTTTATTTACTTCTTCACCTCTTTTTTCTTTTCTTTGTATTTTTGATCAAATTTTATTTTCAATAAAGCATTTGACGTTAAATATATAATCTAAGTCCAATATATGTTCTTATGCTGCCTATCTAATATTTTAGGTTGATACTCAAACGCTTTAATTTACTTTATTGAGTAACATTATAGTTCATCAAAACGATATTGCACATAACAATTTGTTTGGTAAACATTTACCGAGTAAGAGTCATCACTCTCACTTACCAGGTAAGATGTTTCACCCTTATAATCGTTCTTATAGAATAAGATTCTCAATCATTGTCTTGTTCATACAGTAAGATAAAAGTACCAGGTAAGCATTTAGTGAACTCCTCTATGTTTAGTATTTTTTTTCTTTGTTCAATATGATAATCCTTATTATTTTTCCAAATAACAACTTCCATATAAATGCTAATCGATAATTAAGTTTATATTTTACATCTATAATTTATACTTTATTATAAAACATTTGCTAAAAACTTTTAAAAATCATTTTGTGTGCATGAAGTACTGTTTATTGATACATATTACTTAAAATTCAAGATTACAAATAATTGTGTGTATGTACAACTTATTAAATTTCCATGTTTGAATATGTGTAACCAGCTGCAAATAAACATAATCAAATACATGATGAATATCTTATTTTAAATATAAAAAATCTAAAATATAATTATTAAAATTATTGAGTTCTAGCAAAATACTTAATTATTACATTTATAAAAAATATTATTAAACTAAAAGTAAATTACTTCACTATTAAACTAAAATTAAATTATAATAAAATATTTAATTAAATAAATCAAACAAAAAAACGAGAACTTTTAAATAGTTAATTTGATATTAATATCGATATAATTTTTCAAATTTTTTATCTTCAAATTTATATTTTATTCAAAAACAAAAACATTAATGTTTTCTCAAAACCACATAAAATCGTATTATATCGACAAAGACAGATAACAAAATGAAACATTAAAATCGAGATGTATCTTACTGCATTGCGTGAGTACCCTTCTTGTTATGTTATAAAGCATTTGCATAAAACTCTTAGAATTCATTTTTAATGCACCGATTACTATTTAATTATGTATATTACTTAAAATTCAAGATTACAAGTTTCGGTGCATGAAAAAAATTAAAATTATATGTTTGAATTCATATAAGTAAATACTAAGTAAAAAACATAATTAAATACAGAATAAAAATCTCATTTTAAATTTAAAAGTTCTAAAATATAATTAGGATAATCATTAATTTCTAAAGAATACATAATCATTATCTTTATAACAAAAATTATATTATTAAATCTAAAATTATATTAATTCGTTATCAAACTTAAATTAAATTATAAACAAAAATATTGAACTAAAAATCAAAATTATAAAAAACATTGTATTATTAGATCTAAAATAATTTACATCGTTATTAAACCAAAATCAAATTAGACTAAAAAAATGAACTAAAAAATATACAAAAAGCGAGAACTTTTGAATTGTTATTTTGATACTGATAGAAATTTTTGTGGGTCTTCAAATTTATATTTTATTCAGATATAAAAATATTATCATTTTCTCAAAACTATACAAAATTGTATTCTAAAACGAAACACTAAAATCGAGATGTATCTCATTACATTGCGCGGATACATTTATGGTATATTATAAAACATTTGATAAAAACTTTTAAAAACTATTTTTTTTATGCATAAAATATTGTTTATTGATGCATATTACTCAAAATTCAAGATTACAAGTAGATTGTGGTTACAACTTTTTAAAACTTCATGTTTGAATTTATATAACTAGCTGCAAAATACAAGATAAATATCTCATTTTAAATATAAAAAATCTAAAATATAATATATTTTTTATTCTATAAATATGATATACAATATAAACATCTCATTTTAACTATAGAATATATATTTTTTATACTATGATTTAAGAACATAACATAAAAGTGTTTATGACGTGGACTACATTAATATCATTATTATAAGTTAAGGTAAGGTCTAATCTCACCTTACTTAATCTTATCACTTGTTACATCTTTTTATTTTTACTCAAAAAATTATATATCATGTTAACAAACTATATGATCAATTAATTAAGTGTTAGTTGATGATGTAAAATAATATAATATGAATAACTAAAAACAATCCTAATAAGTTAACTGAAATAATTTATCAAAACGTAGATTTTTTTTACAAATTCAAAGAATAGGTTGATTATATTAATGTTGTCAAACAAACATTTGAAATACATCAAGAAAAGGAGGGATGTCTCAGTCGTGACTACTGCCGTGAGTGAATACAAAATTTCAACTACGTTTTCTCTTGAAACAATCTATTGATTGATGCTTTTATTAGATGTCAAATTGTTTTTAGATACTCGTTTTTGAGATAGCAAAACAAATGGGCTGAGTTAACTCATTCGTCATTTTCTAAAAGAAACAAAAAAGGAGAAAGTATCTGCTATGAAGCGTTAATCATTTGATGAATGATTTATAGAAATGTTTAAATCCTTGTATGATGAGTTTTTCTTTTAATCGTATATCTTGTGTATATATAAATACATATATAACATGCTGAGAAGATGTTGAAAGTAACAAGCAATAAGAAAAACACTTTTAACATGTTCATAGTCTTTATATAAAAAAAAAAACACTTTAAAAATCACTCAAACACAAATAATGTTTTGATGAAAGAGGATTTATTAGTGAAGGGCAGTGCATGATTTTTGATGAGTTGGAAGACATTAAGAAAAGTAAAAAGTTGGTAAAAAAATAAATTTTAATGTAGATTCTGATGATGTTAACATATGAAATTAAAGATTTTGATGAATTAAATAATTTTGCTTTTTACATGATCTTATCATTCTTGACTTTGTTTTAAGATCACATATATAATAAGCTTCTAGACTTTCAAACAAAAATTAAATGAACAAATTATTATTATTATTATTATTATTATTATTATAGGTTTTTAACCATGAAAAGAAAGAATTTTGTGAAAATTAGAAATATAAAAGATTGGTTTTCGAGAAGAATGAGAGTTAAGACTAAGAAGGGATCTATGTCCTTACATACATAATTAATAAGATGAGAATAAACACTCGTATCAAGTACGATTCATGAATAAGTTTGAAATTAAAAGTAATCAAATGTTCAGATCTTTTCTTATATGTCTCGTTATAACTCTTATTCTCACACGATTGTTCTCTCTCTCTCTCTCTCTCTCTATATATATATATATGTGTGTGTGTATTGAGATAATCATTTGCAAACCATCCACATGATACAAACCTTAAAAATCAATCTAGACCGTCATTTCGAATTGGTGAAATTTTATATTGGAATTAATGAAAAAAATAATAAGTAAAGGGCAATTTATACATTTTTAAATATAAAATTTAATCCTTAATTATGAATTCTTCTCTCCGTTTATTTACTGAATTTATTTAGGTCCTTTTTTTTCCTTCTAATTCTCTTAATAACCTATTATTATTTATTACATCATTTTGACCCAAAAAAATATTTTATTAACCGACTAGTAAAGTTTGATGGATTCTTTTATTATTTTAAATATGGTCTTAATCATTTAAAATGCAAAAGTTTAATAGTTTTTCATTTAAAAAAATTATTCAACGACTTAATCAATTAAAATGAAATAGTTTATAGATTTTTTTTTTAGAAAAATAATTTATATTAAACAATTTAAAATAAAAAAGTTTATTGGATTTTTTTAGAATTTTCTCAAAGATGATCATATATGTTTATACAAACATAACACCATATAAACCTTTAAAGCCAAAATGAGATGTTAGAGTGCAGGATCAACTTTTTAATTGATTTGACTTTAGAAGTATAAATTGTTGGATTTATTAACTAAAACGATATATAATCTATTTCAAAAAGTTTATTTTAAAAAAAAACTTTTACATGGATATAGATTTATATCAGTTTACTAAAACAAAAAGTCTTATTAATTTTATTTTCAAACTTCAGCACCATCACTTAAAAGTTAAATAGCACCTTAATTTCCAAATAATGCATATTAACATCATCTTTCATTCTTCATCTCCTCCTTTCTCAATTTCCAGGCCACAACTCCGGCTATGATTGCACGAAAAAGTTGGTGCCATATATCACCTTCAAGAGCCATACAAAATTTTCATTGCAGCGAACAATTGGAGTGATTGTACGGGACACTACCGGTTTCTTCTTCATCCACCTTTGCCCCCTTGCCGGCCATCTTCCTCACCTCTCTCGGGCCATTGTTGGCCACCATGAACAAAAGTAGATGTAATTCACGTGCACTACTTCCATACGAGAAACGAATATGTGAATCAACCAATTACATATCTTGAATCATCTCTCATTCCTTTTTCATTCATTCTTGTGGGTTTAGGTTTGATAAGTGTTACTATTATAGTATTTGATTTTATGATTTTAGAGTTTGCTACGTGTTTCATAAAAGAACTAGCCCATATACTTAATCCTCTGAGAACTCCGGATTACGTGAGATCCGTGATAAGTTCTACCTTAAGTTTTTGTTTTACATGATTTTTTCCCGTCTAGATATAATGTTTAATATATTGATTAACACACATTTGTTTGACAATGTGTTTGTTTCATATATATCTGTTCACAATGTGAAACCTTTTTACATGCATTTTTTGTTTCACAAAGACGTAAAAAATATGTTCATATTGTGAACCGAGTACATGTGAAACAAATGTATGTTAATCAATATTTTAAATCATAGTCTTAGGTGGAAAAAAATATATGAAATAACATATGATGCACAAGTTCTTAAAGTTATCACAATTTCATGGGTTCACAAAAGATTTGCCCCCAATACATATAGGGGTTGATTCTTTTGTTAACCCAATAAATAATGTTAACTTTATCAACCATCTCAACACTTTATTTTGGAATCTATGATTTACATTCATTATGACATTTTTGCAATAAATCATAATAAGATGTGTTATAGACATAGATGAACACTTATGAACAAGAGTATATTTGGAAAAAAAATATGAATATTTTTGTAACGTCCATGTTTTATGTTAGTAAACACATGCACTACGTAATCTAGTTCGCTTATGAACAAACATCAAGTTGTGCATATGAACAATGTTCATGTGTTTACTTCTGAACACTGTTCATTTTTTCCAAAATAATTGTGAATATGTACATACCTAGTTTGTATTACATGTATGTGGTAATCTGGTTCACATACAAACACAACATTTTTTTAAAGTTGAAATGAGATGGTTCACCTATGAACAAGTGTTTACTCATAGATGAAAACCTATTTTAAAACATTGTTCATAGTATCACCTTATATATGTAAGCTTGATCACTAATGCTCTTGAAAGTCCACCAAAATTCTTAATATGATTAAGTGTAACCTAATAATTGTTAGTATATTGTATTTATTTAGGTTTATTTAGCCCACTTTCTTATACGGCCCAAAGGCCTATCTTGTATTGTATATATATTTGTATACCTTTGTGAATGAAGGGGGCAGAAATCATTTTTCCCAAATTACATGGTATCAGAGCTTCCGATCCTAGAATCTCTCCACATCCTTCTCTCTTTATCTCCTCAATTTTCTGCCCTATTTTCTCCACCTACGGCTGAACCCTAACAGCCTCCTCCACCATCCATACTTTCCGATCAAGTCTCGTTCATGGCTACCAACACTCCCTCTCACAAAGCCTTTGGCATCACCAACATCAAGACTTATGTACCACTCATTCTTGATCTCGACCGACTTAACTACGATGCGTGGAGAGAACTCTTTACCACTCATTGTGTTGGGTTCGATGTGATCGATCACATAGATGCGTCTACCACAACACCGACTGCTGCGGAATGGAAGAAAGTAGACTCGATTGTTAAACTATGGATTGACGGTTCTATCTCACAATCGCTTCTTCAGATGGTACTCAAGAAAGACTCCACCGCACTTCAAGTGTGGAACAACCTCGAAACTCTTTTTCATGACAACAAGGACGCGAAGAGCATGCAGACCGATAACGAGCTCCGAAACATCGTCATGGGAGACCTCACCGTCACCGCATATTGCACCAAAATCAAAGCCTTAGCAGACCTTCTTGCCAACCTTGATCCGGATTCCACAATTCCCGACAAGCATTTGGTTATCTACACAATCAATGGCTTGTCGTCTAAATTCGATCCCGTCGCTAACATCATACGGTACCGTTCTCCGCTTCCGACCTTCATTGAAACCCTGTCGATGTTACTCATGGAAGAACAACGTATGTCAAGTCCTCGACTGGTGCACACCGAAAATTCCACCAACTCCTCCTTGCCGACTATTTGGCACACGGGACACGGCTCGTCAAACCGGCCTAACAACCGCAGTCCAGATCGCCGCCAACAGCCTCCGACGACCGTCCCAAACCAGCCTTACGGCTGGGTATTTATTCCTCCACCGGAGTTGCAACAATAGCCTCGCACCCCCTCATCGCCGTCGTGGCCCATCTTCAGCAGCCAAGATACACGGCTCAACAGCATGGCATCCGACCACAAGCCAATTTCGCAAGTTCAGACTCTTCTGGCCCAAATTCTGCAGTGTCCCATCTGGCTCTTGGACAAATCAACCCACCAGCCTATCGGCACTTTTTAACACCATGACCTTAAATGATCCGGGTGCAAACGGCTGGTTCATGGACACCGGGGCGACAGACCACGTGCACGCAAATGCAGGTATACTAAACATTGACCTTTAAACTGGCAATTCTCATTCGGTTCTAGTCGGTGATGGATCTTGCATACCTGTAATTACGACCGGACACACCTCCTTTCCACTTAAAAATCCCTATCGTCCATTACATCTTAATCATGTCCTTATCACCCCTAATATTATCAAAAACTTGATTTTTGTCCGTCAATTCACTAAACAAAATAAATGTTCTATTGAATTTGATGAGTTTGGGTTTACTGTTCATGATTTCAGAACCCGGCGCCCCCAATCCGATGTGATAGTGACGGTCCCCTTTATCCGGTCATTCCTTCCACTTCGCAAGTGCACGTTTTCTTGAGTCCATCCACATGGCACCAACGCTTAGGACATCCCGGCGACCAAGTGTTGAAGTCATTAGCGTCAAATAAATTTATTTCTTGTAATAGTAATAAATTTCACAAACTTTGTTCATCATGTCAACTTGGCAAACATACAAAGCTTCCATTTGTTCTTTCTGATTCTAATGTTTCTCATGCATTTGAAATAATTCATTCTGATATATGGACTTCTCCATTTATTAGTGTTAGTGGATTTCGATATTATGTAATATTTTTAGACAACTACACTCACTATCTTTGGGTTTTTCCTTTAAAACAAAAATCTGATGTGTTTMTCAAATTTCTTGAATTATTCCAATTCATCAAAACTCAATTCCACACCACCATCAAATCGCTTCAATGTGACAATGGGGGTAAATATAATAATAACCAATTCCATAATTTTTTCACTACCAATGGAATTCAATTCCGCTTCTCATGCCCCCACACTTCCCAACAAAACGGGAAATCCGAACGCATGCTTCGCACCATTAATAATATTGTGCGCACGCTTCTCTTTCACTCGCATATTCCACCAACGTATTGGGTTGAAGCACTCAATACGACCATTCATCTACTTAACATCTTACCCTCTACCTCCATTCAAAATGAAACTCCTCACTTTCGCCTCTTCCAAAAACATCCAACTTACGGTCATCTTCGCATATTTGGATGCCTCTGCTTTCCCCACATAACTACATCTCACAAATTGGAACCTCACACCATCCCCTGCGTATTTTTAGGATACCCTTCTAATCATCGGGGATACCACTGCCTAGACTTATCCTCTCGTCGCATAATCATATCTCGACACGTTGTCTTTGATGAGTCGATTTTCCCTTTCGGCTCAGTCACACCGATTGACCCTCCCTCGTACTCCTTCCTTGACAACCACTCCGAACCATCTCCCATGTTCCGGACTATCCTTGAGTCACCCTCCACTCCGCCTATGGCTCCCACCCACACCGATCCCCCACCCTCGGTCACCTCTACAACTTCCCACCCTACACACCCCATGACCACCTGTGCTCGCAGCGGGATTGTCAAACCTATTGACCGTCTATATCTTCATACCTCCTCCATTTCTCCTGTCCCWCGGTCCCACTTACAGGCTATGCAGGACCCACACTGGYGAAAAGCCATGAATGAGRAATATCAAGCTCTYATGTCCAAYGGAACATGGATTCTTGTTCCGAGACCTCCGGGGGTCAACGTGGTTCGATCTATGTGGCTTTTTTGCCACAAACATCATGCAGATGGTTCTCTTGCTCGCTATAAGGCCCGTCTTGTGGCCAACGGTCGTAGTCAGCAGCAGGGTATTGATTGTGACGAGACATTTAGCCCGGTTGTTAAACCGGCTACTATACGCACTGTTCTCAGTTTATCAGTATCCCGAAATTGGCCCATTCATCAGCTAGATGTGAAAAATGCCTTTCTTCATGTGCATCTTCAGGAGACTGTGTATATGCATCAGCCGTCGGGGTTTCGAGATTCACGGTATCCCGATCATGTATGTCACCTGCAACGATCATTATACGGACTTAAGCAGGCCCCTCGGGCCTGGTATCACAGATTCGCCAAATATGCTCTTCAGATTGGGTTTCAGAACAGTCGCTCCGACTCCTCACTGTTCATATACCATTCACAACATGCCACCGCGTATCTTCTTCTGTATGTCGACGACATCATCCTCACGGCTTCCTCCTCTGAGTTCCTTCGGCAGATCATTTCTCAGCTTAGCCAGGAGTTTGCCATGACGGATCTAGGTGCTCTGAACTACTTTCTCGGCATTTCTGTTGTTCGCTCTTCCWCCKRTTTATTTCTCTCACAGCARAAATATGCACTTGAGATACTTGAGCGGGCAAAAATGCTCAACTGTAATCCCTCTCGGACTCCAGCTGAACCGATACAAAAGTTAGACGCCACCGGTCCACCCGTAGCCGACCCTTCCTTATACCGCAGTCTAGCCGGAGCACTCCAATACCTGMCATTCACTAGGCCAGACATTGCTTTTGCCGTCCAGCAACTATGTTTGTACATGCACGACCCTAGAGATCCACACCTCTAGGCCCTCAAACGAGTTCTCCRRTACATTCGAGGTACTATCAGCCATGGTCTTCAACTTCATGTATCTCCCTCGTCTGACCTTATTGCTTACTCAGACGCCGACTGGGGGGGATGCCCAGCTACCCGAAGATCCACCTCCGGCTATTGTGTATTTATGGGGGACAATCTTGTTTCATGGTCCTCCAAACGTCAGGGTGTTATATCGCGTTCTAGCGCGGAAGCTGAGTATCGTGGAGTCGCGAATGCTGTTGCAGAAACAAGTTGGCTTCGAAACCTCCTTCGAGAACTTCAGTGTCCCAAAACCAAGGCCACCATCGTATATTGTGACAATATCAGTGCAGTTTATATGTCTACCAATCCGGTACAACACCAACATACCAAACACATAGAGATTGATATTCACTTTGTCCGGGACAAAGTTGCTATGGGTCTTGTTCGAGTTCTCCATGTCCCTTCCAGTTCTCAGTATGCTGATATATTTACGAAGGGTCTCCCGACATCACTATTCCACGACTTCAGAGACAGTTTGCATGTTCGAAAACCTCCCGTTCAAACTGAGGGGGGATGTTAGTATATTGTATTTATTTAGGTTTATTTAGCCCACTTTCTTATACGGCCCAAAGGCCTATCTTTTATTGTATATATATTTGTATACCTTTGTGAATGAAGGGGGGCGGAAATCATTTTTCCCAAATTACAATAATAACAATGGTAAGAATCATGGAATAATTAAGAAATGTAACCGATAATTAATTTGCACTAAAAGAAAGATCAAATAGAGAATTACATTTCCACTCTTATGAAATAAATTAATGATATGCATCAACAAAAAAATGCATCTTGTTTCTTATTAGTTCGTTAAGGTTTGCAAAGTTAGGAACATTTATTGGGTAAACAAAAAGTCCTACCCCTCTCTCTCTCTCTCTAGAAATTAGTCTTGATGAGAAGAAATCATCATGATCAAGATTCTCCCCCCCTGTTTAACCAAACCCACCACCATGCTCCAATTTCCATCTACCCTTGATCACCTCTTCTCCAAAAGAAAACCTCAAGATAGTCTCTCTCTCTCTCTCTATATATATATGTATGGGGGTATTTAAGTATATAATGTTAAATGAGGTTCAAACTAAAGTCATTATCTTCTCATGAGTTTTGAATCCTTTGTTTTGGTTTTATAGGTGAGGAAGTTATGACTTTAATTAAGTTGATATCCATAAAATACTTATGCATGCACAAGCCCCTTTAGTTTATCATCTTCACAACATTAATTTGTGGAATTGTTATATTGTACAACATCATCGCCAACAATTGTTGTGGTCATTGCCTCATTGGCTTAAGTAACCAACCTAGGTTTACATATCTCGGTGACTTTGAAGATAGTAATCCTAGAAGTGGTCATCAGCTTGCTTGAGTTAAATAATTACGATAAACTAAACTCCAAGTTTATGTTTTAATGGAAGTTTGAGTGCGTGATTTGTAAAATTAACATTCTAAAACGTTAATACATGTTTATACCATTAATTTTGCGAGACAATATAATAGGTTAAATGTTTAACTCCTAAAATGATTATGTCATTTAGGAAATTTCATTACAACCCTTAGACCTAAAAGCTATTTTCATAATTGGTTATAAGTAACAATTTGAATCCTCATCAACCATTGGATTCAAGTTAATTGCTATTTTAAGTTACTTATACTTTTGCCACTTCCTTTTTCTATTTGGATCTTGTATAGTAATAGTAGTTTGTTGTTGTTAGTACGTACTAGTGTAAGTCAATTATGTCCTTCATCTTGAGAACATTGTGGTCTTAATTTTTTATCGTTTTATGTTATCTTAATTAAAATTATAAATATATAAAATAAATTAAAAAATTTCGTGTATTTTGAAATACTAATACTTTTGATTGATTAATAATTAGTTTCTGATTTGGTTACCATTTTATTTCAAATTTTGCTTAATTGTTGAATTCACTTTGTTAAGTTTTTTGAGTAAAATTGAGGGTATTTTGATCTTTTTATTTTTTAAAATCTTTTTTTATTTTATCATATTGTCATGTCCTTTTATAAAGTTTTAAAATCCACGCCCACTTCTTTTCTGGTGAACCCCACCTTCCCCAAAGCGAAGAACTTTACTAGGGTTTGATATGGCACGAATCCTCTTCAAAAAAAGCTTTATGGTGTGGCAAGCAAATGCGAACCAAAATCAATAATACAAAAATAAATATTTTAATAATTAACTCAATTTTTATATATGTCCTCGTTTTTAAGAGTTTATAAGGAAATGTAATGGACTAAAATTATAAAGAATATCTAGTTTTACTTTGATCAAGTGGAGTGATAATCGGAAAAAGGAGATGTGAATATATATATAAATCTTATGTATGAATGCTTGGCCACCACACCCCACATTTATATCTTTTTGACTTTTGAATATTCAAAGTCTCCAAATATGACTATGAGGTTCCAAAGTCGTAATCTCAACAAACCTTAATTTGTGTTTTCTTTTTCAATTTTATTTGATATCTTATTTATAAAAATAAATTAAGGGTTGATTTTTTAATTATATCATCTTTTTAAACATGTTTATTTTCTATTATTTTGGTTTTGACTTTGGCTTTGGCTTTGGCTTTGGCAACCAAAGTATATTATTATTGTAAGATTATAGTTTTTATTATTATTTTAAACACAGGTAATTAAAGACTATGGTTAACTTAGGAGTGGGTGCACACTTAATTGGTGATTGATACATGCATGACTTTTAGTATAAAATTATATTTGATTTAGACATACATTATTATATATGATGTTGGTTAAATGTTGGTGTATAAATAATATATTTGGAATTAAGAAATTTATGATATATAAAAGCAGTTGGCAAGTATAGGAGAATTCATTGTTATTGTTGGGGTTGGGTACTCATGATGATGATTCCGCTTTTAGAATCTTATGTTTTATGAATTTACAAATAATAAATAAAGATGACCTTTTGATAAAAAGTTGATATAAGGACAACCACCTTATTTTGCCCCGTGTGTTAATTGTTATTTTAATTACAATTACAATTACAATTACAATTTATGGCTGGCTTATTTTAGAATAAAAAGACAACATGGACCAAATGTATTACACAAGGCCTAAACCCCTGAATATGCGAAATAGAACGAGTCAACAGTCAAATACGTTGTCCTCTCCTTTCCCCACTTTATATATTCATATATTTACAACCCCCCCCCCCCTCTCGTCTGTCTAATTCTTAGCTCCCATTCCCCCGCCCGGAGCCTAACAAATATGGCTTCCCCCACATGCTCCCCCGATACACTGGCCGCCATGTTTGGCGCCAACACCACCAACGCCACTGCTGCCGCCGCTTTTATCTGCGATCACTTCAACACCGTCTCCACCAAGTTCACCGACACCACCTACGCCGTCGACACCACCTACCTTCTTTTCTCTGCCTACCTCGTCTTTTCCATGCAACTCGGTTTCGCAATGCTCTGTGCCGGCTCCGTCCGTGCCAAGAATACCATGAACATCATGCTCACCAACGTTCTTGATGCCGCCGCCGGTGGCCTTTTCTACTATCTTTTTGGATTCGCCTTCGCCTTCGGTACCCCATCCAACGGTTTCATCGGAAAACACAACTTCGCCCTCCAATCCATACCTTCCTCTGTCTTCGACTACAGCTATTTCTTGTATCAATGGGCCTTCGCCATCGCCGCTGCCGGAATCACCTCCGGATCCATTGCTGAAAGGACCCAATTCGTTGCTTACCTTATTTACTCTGCCTTCTTGACCGGATTCGTTTACCCAGTCGTTTCACATTGGTTTTGGTCCGTGGATGGATGGGCGAGCGCCACGAATTTGGATAACTTGTTTCTCGGATCAGGTGTGATCGACTTCGCAGGATCTGGCGTGGTCCATATGGTTGGTGGGGTCGCCGGCTTGTACGGTGCGTTGATCGAAGGCCCCAGAATAGGCCGGTTTGACCACAGTGGTCGATCGATTGCCTTACGAGGCCATAGCGCATCGCTGGTGGTGCTCGGCACTTTTCTATTGTGGTTCGGATGGTACGGTTTTAATCCGGGTTCGTTCACCAAAATCTTGAGCCCGTATGAATCAGGTCACTATTATGGTCAATGGAGCGCGGTGGGTAGAACCGCCGTCACCACAACCTTAGCCGGTTGCACGGCGGCGTTAACCACCTTATTTGGAAAGAGAATCATGTCTGGACACTGGAACGTAACGGATGTATGCAACGGATTATTGGGAGGTTTCGCCGCCATAACGGCCGGATGCTCGGTGGTGGATCCATGGGCTGCCGTGATATGCGGGTTCGTGGCAGCGTGTGTATTGACAGGGTGCAACAAGCTGGCAGAGAAGTTGAAATACGACGACCCATTGGAGGCGGCACAGCTCCACGGTGGTTGCGGTGCATGGGGAATCATTTTCACGGCTTTGTTCGCAAAGGAGAAGTATGTGAACGAGGTGTACCCGGGAAAAGCGGGTCGACCATATGGGTTATTTATGGGAGGAGGAGGGAAACTGCTGGCGGCACATGTGATCCAGATTGTTGTAATATTTGGGTTCGTGAGTGCGACGATGGGTCCGCTGTTTCTGATACTGAATAAACTAAAGCTGTTGAGGATATCGGCGGAAGATGAAACGGCAGGTATGGATATGACGAGACATGGGGGGTTTGCGTATGTTTACCACGACGATGATGATCAGAAGTCTGGGATACCCATGAGGAAGATAGAACCAGCAGCTTCGAATTAGAGATTGCTGCTGATGATTCAATTCGTAAGAGAGGTGTTGATGTGAAAATGATGGTTGTATTATGTATTAATGATGATTAAATGAAAATTGAATTTGAATTTGGCATGTGGGTTTGTTTAATCATAAATGGATGAGTGGCAGTGGTCTTCCCTATGCTATGCTTTCACAGGATTGGATTTTCTAAAATCTTTTTGTAAATAAAGAAAAGAATCAAATATTAAATAGTAAGGGATTCCCATTCCCATCTCCCAGGACAAGTGGGAAAGCCACATGCTTTTAATATTCCAATTTTTATATCCAACCCTTTTTGAAAACCTCAACTTCTTTTATCACCTATTTTAACTCTTTCTTTTTAATTAAAAACACTAATATTGATTCTTGAAAGCAGCTCAAGTGTTTAATTCTTGTTATTTAATAATAATGTACCTACTAATTATGAATCATAAAGTTTGGAAGATCAAGTGTTGAATCATTGTTTGGAACAAGGCCGGTTTGATGATGATTCTTTTGACCTTGAACAAATTGTTTGTTTTTTTCTTCTTTTTTTGATGCATGACATTCACATTTTATATACAACCAATGAATGGGTCATTTCAAAAATCAAATACACGACTTTACAATTTAATCCTCGTCAAAATAAATAAGAAAAAAATTAAACAACTTATGAATTCCATTAAATCATCATATAAGAAATCACTAAACACTAAACAAGTTCTAAATTCCATTAACTAATATTATATGTTTTTTCAACTAATTTTTTGTGATTTAAAATGGATAAATTAGTAAAAAAATTTAAAGAAAGCCCTTATATATATATATATATATACACCTTCATTTCATATTCAATTTTGTGTATACGTGTATTTATAGAGAAAAATAAGAGGATAGAAAAAATATGAGATTGAAAAAAATAAGTTTATTTTTCAATCAAACTTTTGTAGTTTAAATTGAATCTCATGGATCTCATTGATTAACATATTTTTAAAAGAAGACCCCTACGATTAAAAAAAAATATTAAGGTTTTTTATAGGGAAAATACTAAAAAAAACTCAATGGACTTTAGTGTTTGAAATGATTAAGTTCTTGGACAATTTTTTGGAACAAATAAATCTTTGGACATTACAAAACTTGTTAAATAACTTCTTGGATTTTTCTAAAACCTGTTAGATACATTCTTATGACCTATAAAACTTGTTAATATGGTAAAATAATGGAAAAAAATCCAGAAAAAAAACTAATGAACTTTCATATTTTGAACGATTAAATTCATAAACATTTATTTAAAAAAATACTTACATTTAAAAATTATTATTGATGAAATTTATTTTAATTAAAATAAAAATATTTTATCAGAGACTTTTTAAATAAAAAAATTACTGATTAATTTATTTTAATTAAAAATAAAATGTATTTCTTAAACTAAAAAAAATAAAAAAAGATTTAAAAAGAATTGTTGATAAAATTTATTTTAATTAAAAATAAAATATATTCTATTGATGATTTTTTAAATTAAAAAAATAGAAAATAATTTCATTAAATTACTGACGGATTAACAATAAAATTTAACTAAATACATAATTAATTAAAATCCATCGCTAGTGTTCATCGATATATATGCATGGATTACTTATATTTAATTGACGACTAACTTGACCACCGTCAAGCACTCTAACACAATAACATATTAATAAGTGTGAAAGATTGTGCTTCGATTTTGTCAGTGATATCATTTCACCGGCAGATTAGCGACGAATTTTAATTAATTATGTATTTAATTAAATTTTATCGTTAATCCGTCAGTACTTAAATCAAATTATTTTCTATTTTTTTAATTTGAAAAATCACCAACGGAATATATTTTATTTTTAATTAAAATAAATTTAACCGGTAATCCTATTTTAAATCCTTTTTTTATTTGAAAATCACTGACAAAAAATATTTTATTTTTAATTAAAATAAATTTTGTCAATAATTTTTTTAAATGCAAGTACTTTTTTGTAAATGTAATGATTTTTTGGTATATTTATTTCATTTTATAGATGTAAATACTTTTTAGTTTAAAAAATGTTTAGAGACTTAATCGTTCAAAATATGAAAGTGTATTAGTTTTTTTCCAGATTTTTTCCATTATTTTACCACATTAACCAAGTGTATAGGTCATAAGGATGTATGTAATAAGTTTTGGAATGTCGAAGGAGTTATTTAATAAATTTTGGAATGTCCAAGAACTTATTTGTTCCAAAAAATTGTTCAAAGATTTAATCATTTCAAACACTAAAGTCCATTAGGTTTTTTCAAACTTTTTACCTTTTTTATATGGTGCTCACATGAAGAGAAGAGATAATTCCACCTTAAAACCCGAGTCTTCCAACTACTTCTACAAATTGTTAAATTATCAAATTACTACACATCTTGTTATTATAATCTTTGTATTAACATATATATATATATATATAAAGTTTAATATAAATAAAAATATAAAATAAATCTGGAGACCCCGGGAGTTTGGAGGCCCTGTGCAGCAGCAGCACCATCGGCACACCTCCAGGGCCGCCTTTGTTTTGGAATTGCATCTTTAAATGGTGGAATATCAACTACATTATATCCTCTTTTTGTCTTTGAAATTTTGATTTTCGATGGTGGGAGGCAAATCGAGGGGTCGTTGAAGGGATGTGTGGCAAACGATTCTTTGGATTGTTGCTTATTTCCTTAGGAAACTCGGGAATGCTTATATTTTTCAAGGGGCTTGATTCTTGCGGTGATCTTTTCGGCCACAGCCAGTTTAAATCATTTGATTGCATTGTTCCTATATATAGGCTTAGAGATCGGTCTATCTCTAAAACAACTTGGTTTAAGTCCCCTTCTGTTTAATGTGGTTTCGTTGGTCCTTTTTTTGATCTTTTTTATTTTTAGTGGTTGTTTATTTCTTGTGTGTTTAGTTTGTTTCCCTTTTTGATTAACCTGAATATCCAACCCGCTATGCGAACCGACTAATCTTAGGACGATCATCTGCTTTGCAGATAGCTCGGAGTCACCGCATTTGAACCTCCATGGCCACAAGAAGATTTGTATTCCTCCTTGAATTTGAACCTGAGACCTCCTGGTACTTTTGACTTTTAAAGTTAAACTCAAAGCAATCAAACACCATCTCTTTGTTATCGATATCTTACAGATTAAAAATTCAAATACAAACAAGTTAAGAGAAGCACCCAGAATGATGAAAAAGAACACGAATAAAAGACTTGTGATGATGTTTGTTGAATAATTCCACATCATTTTCAACCACTACCATCACAAATCCCAATCATATAACCATACATTACATCAATTTACATTTACTCATTCAACTACTTGTCAGTATCAAAACCATTTATTTTTATATAAATCAAATATCATCTTCTATACTATATTATAAATTATTTGATAAATTTTTTTAAAACTCCTTATTTATACATTAAGTATTGTTTATTGATGTATATTACTTTAAATTTAAGATTACAAATAAATCATGTGTATGTATGTATAACTTATCAAAACTCCATGTTTGAATTCGTGTAATTAACTGCAGATAAATATAATCAAATAATGGATAGATATCTCTTTTAAATATAAAAAACGAAACATTAAAATTAAGATGTATCTCGTTGCATTGCACGAATACCATTATAATATAAACAAAATGCAATGATGTCAGCATTGATCAAGTCTTAGGTTTGCCCATCAATATTTTTTATCTTTTGTTCTTATTAGAGTAAATTACAAAATTAGTCCTTATGGTTATCGGAATATCTCTTCCAAACAAAATAATTAATATATCATCAATGTGCTTTTAATTTAGTTATGAATTGGATCCCTTCCTCCAACTTCATTAACTTTAGTTTTGTTAAGTCAAGAGATTTTTAATATTTCATTTTCTCATAAAATCCCTGCAACAACCCATATATAGCCATATCTCCAACTACCGTTTCATTTTTAGTATTTCATTTTTAATGTTTTATATATATTTTACAAATTTCTTGCATCTCCAACTACCCCATTTCATGCCTTGAATTGAAGCACCAACAATCAAAGTCAAGACCGTATATATGAACACAATAATTTTTCATATTTCTCGTTTCAAATGTAAATTCTACCAATAAATCAAGAGCATAGCTCAAAAACTAAGAAATTCTACCAATAAGTTCTTTAGAAATGAGAACCAAAAATCACATGACAAGAAACGGATCAAAAAACAATAATTGTAAATAGAAAAACAACTTGAACATTTTTTTTTTTTGCGTTTGGGTTCTTCAAAATAAAAACCCATAGCCATGGCATCACCATTGTACGCAGTCATCAAACTCTCTCTATGCATCTCCATAACCTCAACATTGTCATCAAGCTCAAACACGAGCTTATCCTCAACAATAGTGAGACCATTGATGCAAGGACCGACCCAGCATGGCGTTACTAATGGCACGTGCCACCATATTATTCTTTTGTAAGAGGGTAAAAATATTTAGGTTCGTGAAAGGTTCAACTGTATTAATTTGTTGTGTGTCATCGTATGTATTTTGAAATTACAACGAAAAACAAGTTTTTTATAGGGTTGGTTTGTAAGGTTTTTCTTCCACCCCATATATACTCGAGTTCGAATCCCATTAATGACATTTTTCTAGTCAAAGGGTGTCAATTATTTTCTTTATATTTGTTTCTTATATATAGTCAAATGGTATCATCGGTCATTTGAAATTTGTTCTTATAAATAAATAAATGGTGGCACTGTTTAAAAAAAGTATGGATCCGTCCCTACATCGATGATGTCAAGAAATACACAGAAACTTTGAGACTAAAAAACAAATGAATTTTTTTTTCTTCCTCTTATTTGTGGTTTATACTAGCAAACTAAATAGAAATGTATTTTATAATTTGTAAGAATGATTGTAGATTTGAGTTGGGTTATTAGGGATTGAGGGTACGTCTTTAATGGCTTAATTGATTTGGTATGGGTTGCAAGTCAGAAACGGGGATGGGTATCTAATAAATATTTTTATGTTCATTTGATTCCTATATATAATTATTGAATAAAAGAGTTTGTAATTAAATATGGTTTTATTTTATTTCTTTTTCTGTCCCTACCTGGGTTAGGTTAGGTTAGGTTAGTACCATCATTTAAATGACAAATATGTTTGTTTTTTAAAATCAAGGAGAATATAATTACCGGCATCATCTTATTATTATATATATCTATATCTATATCTATATCGAGACAGCCTCTGTCTTGTCTTTAAAAAGGAGAATACTCCCATCATCTTCCTAAACAGAGGAATTCAAGGCGGCCATGGCCGGATTATTCGAGAAGCAAACGGAGGCATACTTGGACGCACGACCAACTTATCCCTCCCATTACTATTCCATGTTAGCCAATCGAACATCTTCTCACTCTCTTGCCTGGGATGTCGGAACCGGCAACGGTCAAGCGGCTATCGGTGGTAGTAAATGTCCTTTCCTATGCCTATGCCTATGCCTATGCCATCACAATAATTCAAATTATAACATCTCATCTCATCTCATCTCATCTCATCCACTCCAGGTTGCCCACCATTACCAACAAGTCATCGCCACTGACATAAGCCAAGCTCAATTGAAGCTCGCCAAACCTCATCCTCGTGTTCGATACCTTCACACACCACTCTCTTTGTCTGACGATGACCTAGTTAAGTTGATCGGTGGTGAAAATTCTGTAGATCTGGTCACTGTAGCACAAGCCGTACACTGGTTCGACCTCCCTAGATTCTACTCCGTCGTCCATCGCGTTCTTCGAAAACCAGACGGCGTATTTGCTGTTTGGGGATACAATGATTTCGACATAACCCCTGAAATTGATGCAGCACTGAAAGGCTTCCATGACACCACCCTTCCTTATTGGAACGACAACATCAAGCATGTATTTGATGGTTACCAAAGTTTGGCTTTCCCTTTTGAGGACATGGGGTTAGGGAGGGAAGGGAAGCCACTGAAGGTGGATATACCGAAACAACTGTCGTTTGAGGGGGTTTTAGGCATGTTGAAGTCGTGGTCTGCAGTGGTGACCGCCAAGGAGAAAGGAGTGGATTTGTTGTGTGAAAGCGTGGTTGAAGGTCTAGAGACGGTGTGGGGTGGATCCAAGAGGATAAGGCATGGTGCTTACAAGGGTTTCATGCTTGCAGGAAAACCCCGTTCCTAATTTGGTTTCTGCTTTTTTCATTCAAAGTCTTGAAATAATCCTTGCTTAATTTGCTATCGGGGATTGAATTATATATATATGTTTAATTATTCCTCTCCAACAATTAATTACTCTTACTGTTGCTGTTAATTTAAATTAAATACATAAAATTCTGAAATATTATGTAAGACTTATAGCCTAGCAATTAAAAGACCCACCATCATATATCATTAACACTAAAACTCAATTTTACTTCAACCATACATTAAAAATGGTCCATTCTATTTCCTACCTCTTTCATATATATATATATATATATATATATGTATAATTAGTGATCAAATCATAAATTAATTAAATTATATCTCAAATTAAATGTGCAACGTCGATCGGCCGATTTAGGAAGGGCCAAAATCATCATTTTAGCCGTCCATTGGAGTTGGAGATGCCTTTAACGGCAAAAATAACAACATTCTATAATTTATTTATTAAAAGAAATCAACTCATTAAAATAAAATAAAAAAGGTTTTTTTTTTTTTTTGGGATGTAAGGGAAAGGTTTATGTACGTGTAGATAGGAAAACCCCACGTGTTTATCATAAGCCTCCACGTATGTTTTTTACTATAAGCATAAATTGTTTGGAAATTAAAGATTTGGACGCAACACGCAACAGCATGGCGGGATTATTCGATAAGCAAGCCCATGACTATTTGGCTGCACGCCCAACTTATCCGCCTCACTGGTTTTCCTTGTTAGCTCCTCACACATCCTCTCATTCTCGTGCTTGGGATATCGCCACCGGCAACGGTCAAGCCGCCATCGCTGTAACTACTCTTCCTTCAATTCATCTTCTCTACCTAAATACTAAATACTAAATACAAATCACTAACTAACTACGCGCCTAGCTGTTTGTTTAGTTTCATCAATACATGCACATGCATCATGAATAAAGTTGTCTATATATATATATATAGAGAGAGAGATTGAGAAACCTTTTGTTGGTTTTTTGTATAGACGAGAGAGTATATATAGTAATAATAAGTTGAAGTCGTGATCCAGGTGGCAGAGCATTACCAACAAGTGATTGCGACTGACGTCAGCCAAGCTCAATTGAAGCTCGCCAAACCTCATCCTCGTGTTCGATACCTTCACACACCACTCTCTTTATCCGACGATGAGTTAGTTCAGTTGATCGGTGGTGAAAATTCTGTGGATCTGGTCACTGTTGCTCAAGCCTTACACTGGTTCCATCTCCCCAGACTCTACTCTGTCGTCAATCGCGTTCTACGCAAACCAAACGGCGTATTTGCTGTTTGGGGATACAATGGCCTCACCGTAACCCCTGAGATTGATGCAGCATTTAAGCGATTCCATGACACCACCATTCCTTATTGGAAGGAGAACGTGAAGCATTTATTTGCTGATTACCGAACTTTGGCTTTTCCTTTCCAAGACATCGGGTTAGGGTCGGAAGGAAGGCCATTGAAACTAGCTATACCCAAACAACGATCCTTTGAGGAGATTTTAGGATTGTTCAGGTCCTGGACTGCCGTCGTTACTGCCAAGGAGAGAGGTGTTGATTTGTTGCCGGAAAGTGTGATTGAACAACTGGAGAATGTGTGGGGCGGACCCAAGGTGGCTAGGCCTGTTGTTTACAAGGCTTTCATGCTTGCAGGAAAACCCCATTCCTAAGTTGATGACGATGATGCCATCGCTCTGCTTTTCTTCATTTCCAAATGTCAATAAAGCTGATGCTTATATCATCACTTTTATCGCATAAACAACGCACGAGTATTTTTAACCTATTTAACACTACTCGCTATCTTTTTTAGATTTTCGATGATGATAATAATAATAATAAAAAAAATTACAAATTTGTCCCTACGGTTTACATAAAATTACACTGTAGGTCCCTAAACCAAAATAATTGTGGAAAACATCCCTGTAGTTTACATTTTCACACGTCTTTGATTCCTATACTCTTTAACACAATTAAGAAATCTGTTAGTAGATTATTTGAAAGGGTATTTTAGTCATTTTTTTACTTTTTAATTTTTTTATTTAAAAAACCACAGGGACAAAAAATGTAACACACCCCAGCATCTACCACCATCACCATCTACTAAAATTTATAAACAACAATTTTTGTGTAAATTATATCACCAAACAATCACTATAAAAAAAATCTTGAATATAATTTCATCCAAAAAAGCGTAATACAAGAAGATCATTATCAACAACAATTCTTATATAATCTCATAAAAAAAATGCAATACAAACACTAAAATCACAACCAAAATCAAACCCTATAACCAAACCTTAAAAAACGCTAAATCAAAACCCAAATAAACCTTAAATCAAACCCTAAAATCAAAAAAAAATATCGAACAAGATGTGGGTTGGATATGAAGGATCAGATCAGTTGTTGTGTTTGAGAGAACAAGATCTTCAAACGAGGTGAGCAGAGAACGAAGAAAAAGAAAAAGAAAATTTATGGATCCCAGATTTGGCTTTGAACTAAGAACCGTTGTTGTTTCTGCTTGGTGGATGTAAGAAAAACAATTCGTAAAGAGGATGCGTTTCGCCAAAGTCAACAGAAGGGATATCACCTGAGATGGTGAGGTGGGAGAAAGGAAGACATAGATGAGGGCGCCTATAGTTGTCGCCCGTGGAACTTGAAAGTCGTCATCAGTGGATCTAAAAGTTGAAGGACACAATATTTCTTATAAACTACTTTCTCATTCATGTGATTTATAAATCACATTTATGTGTACACAAATAGACTGTGATTTTTAAATAAAAAATTTTAAGTTTTTAATGTAAAACTAAAAATATAATAAAATGACTAAAATACCTTTTAATTTGACCTACTTAACAAATTTTTTTAACGGTGTTAGGAAAAAGTTACCAAAGGTGTGTGAAAGTATAAACCATAGGGACACTTTCCATTATTACTTTGATTTAGGACAATGCGATTTTGTGTAAACCACATGGACCAAAAATTTGTAATTTACTCTAATAATAATAATAATAATCACCATCATCATCACCACCACCACCACCTTTTTCTTTCATTCAAAAAAGTCGGGAATCCCGTTAGTTTAATACCGTAAGCCATCTTTTGCTTGCAGTGTCATATTTTTCTGACATATTTTGTGAAAAAAGAAAATTGTGTTTTTTCGAGGACAAAACTGCAACTTGCGGTGGTGCAACCTAAACTGGAGCTTATGTGTACCGCAATTTGATGTGCCACAAGCCAAATCATGTTTAACAACCATAAGTTAACTTGATTTATAATATTTTTTTAAAGATAAACCCGTGTTTGGTTAGTAATGTCTTAACTTTTATTTATACTTCAGATACAATTTAAATCATCTTGTTAAAAAATATATGTTATTTGATTGATTACTAAAAATAACTTTTTTTTTTTACCAAAGGACCATTTATCAAAAGTTTATTGGGTGTTACCTACCTTACCTGATACATGGTAGGTTGCACATGGTTGAGTTGGCGGTACAACCCAACCTAACATGGAACCATGCAAGTTGAGTTGGGTTAAAACATTTGTAGATCATTTTATAATTTAGTTAAGTGATTTGTGTTTAAACAAAGTAATATCAAAATGAAAACATTTAAAAAAGAATTTCCAAAGTTTATACAAATAAGGAAGTAAAATTATGATCCTTTGAAAAAGATAATCATGAGTTATGCTCTTTGCATACCTTGATCTACTAGATTAGTCGGTAGAAAATATTTTAAAATCGTCACAAACCTCCCTTTTTTTTCTATTGCAATTTCTAAATTATCATGATTTCTAGTTGCAATGCATCCTTATATATCATCCGCTAATACACACCCAGTTAATGGATACAAGTTAGGCCTTGAAATGAAAGTCAATTCCGAAGCCGTTTTGAAATTGTGGATTGGTCTAATGTCTAATGATAATTCTTGACTTAACAATCATATTAAGTTCATGGTATAGAGAGGTATTAGATTCATTGACCTGACTTATGTTCAAATGCCTCAAACCCAATGCCTACAATTTAAAGATTTCACAACCCGACATGTCACTTTGGGTTAGGTTAGTCGGTTTTTTGGCACCTCTACTGCATGGTACAGATCGTGAATCTTATTCAATAAAAGATATAACAAGGACTAGGAATTCCCTTTGTAAGTGACAAAGAAGACTCTTATCCGGTTGAGTCTTATTGGGCAAGACATATTTACCAACAAATCGACTTTGACTCCTAAAAATGTATACTCAAGAAAGTAAATTAAAATGATTGACTTTTATGAATATGTACTGTGCTTATTCAATTCTCATTTGATTTGATAAAATTTAAAGTCACGTGTTGTCGAGTTCCTTTTTATGAGTAAAGGGGAAGAAAAAAATCTTGTGTTCTCGAAGCTTTTTTAGAAGGGAAGAGAAGGAAAAAGAAATGAAAGAACTTGTAACAATTAAAAATATTTATAAAATTAGGATAAATTTGTAAAGATCTCATTTCTCTTCTATTCAAAATTTTATTTTATTTCATTTTTAAGAATAAAAATAAACTGAAAAGCACAACAAAAAAGTTACAATAAGGGGGAGGCTAATAGCACCCCTATTACTTGCTAAGGGCACCCCTATCTYCTATTTTCATCATTTCTTTTTGTTTGGCTTTTTGCATTTTTATCCTTTTGTTGTCCTTTTCTTTTCTATACTAATTTTTTTTTTGTTATTTTAATTAATTATAATAATATTATTATTACAAATATTATTTATTATTCTATAAAAAATTAATACTAAAAAATATTAT